GGAATATGGGTGACCCTGAGCTGCATCATAGTCTCGGCAATAGTCGTGGTATGTCAAGATCCACCACCACCTCGCACCAATTACGCTAGGGCCTTACCATTATTAAGAAATAAAAGGGAAGCGACCCGACATACTGACCGTCAAGGGCGAGTGATCTATAAAATAGGAGTCAGAGAGGGGTGGGGAGTAAGATTCAAAATTAGGATTAGGGATCTTATCAGAGCGGATAAGCAAGCAACATGGGATTATAAGATCCCGTTGTATTTATGTTCAGCTCCCTCGGCAGATTGTTCCTGGGCTCAGGTATTTAGACATACTGGGGGACGGAGATATGAGACGGGGGGGGGGCTGGACGTCCAGATGGAGGATAAGAAGGTATAACGACATCCCCACGGAAATGGTAGTAACGATAGTAAAAGTCACTAAAGAGGACATGAAAATAACTTACTGGGCTTGCGCGGACGTATACGGACGGGATACTGTCTAAGATCACATTTAATGGAGTCAAAAGATATAGAGGGAGCAGGTACTGTCATTAATCCATTAATGGCAATAGACCGAGTAAATCAGTCAAGGGATGACGGAGTCAATTTGACTAACCCATCCACTATGAAAGATTTTCTCCTCCAAGAATGGAACAATGGGGAAGTGGAGGGGGTCCCTGATGAGAATCTCTGGTTAAAGTGGATGAAATACACCGCTAGGGCCTTGGGGGAGACCAATTGTTATGCATGCTCCATTGGGCGACCGACAATGTTGACCGCCCCAATGCCAAGGGCAATGTTTCCCTGTGTATTAGACCTGGGGTCCAATCAAAAAGAGCCAAATTGCACCTAGATTCACTTTAACTCCTGGCGAATACCAGTGTTACAGACATAGAAATGGCACCCGTAACTTGGGTGATTTTGATGGCTGTAAGGAGATAATTAATGTGACTGATTTAGATAAGGAAGGGAGGAAAAAAAATTAGGAGCCTAACCATCCCTCTGACTGATGTGTGGTGGGCATGCACTAACAAAGGGAGCATTCGGCAGACATTACCAGAGGGATGGGTGGGTACTTGTGCACCAGTATTGTTGGTCCAACCTGTAAGAATTGGTCATCAAAGACCAGTGACAGGAAGAATAATTAGGAGAAAAAGAAATATAAGTCAGGAAGGAAATAGCCCAATTTGGATAGATGGTATAGGCATCCCCAGGGGTGTTCCAGACGAATACAAAGCTATGAATCAAATATGAGAGAGTTTTACTACAACATTTTTCTGGTGGGTGACAATAAACAAAAATATGGATTGGATAAATGATATCTATTACAACCAACAACGATTTATTGACCAGACTAGAGATGCAGTAAAGGGGATCTCTGAGCGATTATCCGCCATCCCGCTCATAACTTAGTAGAGGTTGGTTCTAGATCAGGCAGAAAGGGCCGGTGTCTATAGAAAGATAAGCCATTATTGCATATTTATCCCTAACACCACCACACTGGATGGGACAGTCACCAGAGCTCTTACAGAATTAACTGCACTAAGTGAAGGATGAACTTAACTCAGAAGTTAGTACATTGTGGATAGATGGTTTGATGAAATATTTGGTAAATGGAAAACCCTAGCAGCCACCATCTTAGGAGCGATCAGTGTTTGTATGGGTATTCTTGTATTATGTGGTTGTTGTCTTGTTCCCTGTGTCCGAGGATTGGTGAGTCAGGCGTTGGTGAAATGCAGTATCTAAACAATGATGAGAGATGGACTGACTCCGGACTCTGACCAGGGGAATGTGAAAAACGATCCTCCAGGCTTGGTGGATGACGAGGATTTGGACCCTGAAAGACCGCAATTGGATGAAATGTTTATTAGTTCTGATGTGATCTCTGAGATTAATCATGCTTGTAAAATACATTTATCCTGAATGTGGGAATATTTAGTCAAAGGGGTGGATTGTTAGATTAATTTGGATTTTAAGAATAATGACTAAAGGATTTCACCCCAAACACAGTATAAATGTTAGAATTATCATGTAGTGTCAACCCACTAACAGAGGGGGCGGTACTAACCATTCAAGGGGGAAGGCGGAAACTGTTTAGAAAAGTCACCTAAAGGTGGGAGGAGTCAAGTCCAAGAGGTATAAAATCGTCTGTTTGTGTCATTGGCGGGAGAGCTCTCTCCATGAATAAAAATACAGATAAGACTTGTGGGTTGTGGACTTTGAATCATTGATGATTAAAACCAGAGCCTTACAACCTCTGGTAATGATTCAAGCTTAGGTTGAATTAGAGATAGAAATTCACATGACATAAACTGATATCAGTATTCAGACCCTTTACTCAGTACTTTGTTTAAGCACCTTTGGCAGCGATTACAGCCTTGAGTCTTCTTGGGTATGACACTACAAGCTTGGCACACCTGTACATTTACATTTTTACATTTTAGTCATTTAGCAGACGCTCTTATCCAGAGCGACTTACAGTTAGTGAGTGCATACATTATTTTTTTATACTGGCCCCCCGTGGGAATCAAACCCACAACCCTGGCGTTGCAAACGCCATGCTCTACCAACTGAGCTACACCCCTACCGGCCATTCCCTCCCCTACCCTGGACGACGCTGGGCCAATTGTGCGCCGCCCCATGGGTCTCCCGGTCGCGGCCGGTTACGACAGAGCCTGGATTCGAACCAGGATCTCTAGTGGCACAGCCTTAGACCACTGCGCCACTCGGGGACTTTCTCCCATTCTTCTCTGCAGATCCTCTTAAGCTCTGTCAGGTTGGATGGGTAGCGTTGCTGTACAGCTATTTTCAGGTCTCTCCAGAGATGTTCGATCAGGTTAAAGTCCGGGCTCTGGCTGTGTCACTCAAGGACATTCAGAGACTTGTCCTGAAGCCACTCCTGTGTTGTCTTGGCTGTGTGCTTTGGGTCATTGTCCTGTTGGAAGGTGAACCTTCGCCCCAGTCTGAGGTCCGGAGCGCTCTGGAGCAGGTTTTCATCAAGGATCTCTGTACTTTGCTCCGTTCATTTTTCCCTCGATCCTGACTAGTCTCCCAGTCTCTGCCGCTGAAAAACATCCCCACAGCATGATGCTGCCACCCCCATGCTTCACCGTAGGGATGGTGCCAGGTTTCCTCCAGACGTGATGCTTGGCATTCAGGCCAAAGAGTTCAATCTTGGTTTCATCAGACCAGAGACTCTTGTTTCTCATGGTCTGACAGTCCTTTATGTGCCTTTTGGCAAACTCCAAGCAGGCTGTCATGTGCCACTCTACCATAAAGGCCTGATTGGTGGAGTGATGTAGAGATGGTTGTCCTTCTGGAAGGTTCTCCCATCTCCACATAGGAATTCTGGAGCTCTGGCAGAGTGACCATCGGGTTCTTGGTCACCTCCCTGCCCAAGGCCCTTCGCCCCGATTGCTCAGTTTGGCCAGGCAGCCAGCTCTAGGAAGAGTCTTGGTGGTTCCAAACTTCTTCCATTTAAGAATGATGAAGTCCACTGTGTTCTTGGGGATCTTCAATGCTGCAGAAATGTTTTGGTACCGTGCCCCACATCTGTGCCTCGACACAATCCTGTCTTAGAGCTCTACAGACAATTCCTTCGACCTCATGGCTTGGTTTTTGCTCTGACATGCACTGTCAACTGTGGGACCTTATTTGGACAGGTGTGTGCCTTTCCAAATCATGTCCAATCAACTGAATTTACCACAGGTGGACTCCAAAAAAGTTGTAGAAACATATCAAAGATGATCAATGGAAACAGGATGCACCTGAGCTCAACTTTGAGTCTCATAGCAAAGGGTCTGAATACTTATGTAAATAAGGCTTATCTGTTTTTTTATTTTTAATACATTTGCAAAAATGTCTCTAAACCGGTTTTCGCTTTGTCAATGAGGTAGTGTGTAGGATTTTTATTTATTTAATTAATTTTAGAATAAGGTTGTAACATAACAAAATGTGGAAAAAGTGAAGGGGTCTGAATACTTTCCAAATGCACTGTGACTAGGCATCAAGACTGTGTAAAGTCAGTATAAATGTGTGTGCATGTTATGTGTGTTGGAGTGTCAGTGAGTTTGTAGCATACTGTGACTGTGCAAAGAGACAGTGCAAAAAATAAATAAAAAATACAAGGGTCAACTCAGATAGTCCGTGCAGCCATTCTGTTAGCTATTTAGCAGTCTTATGGCTTGGAGATAGAAGCTGGTCAGTAGCCTGTTGGTGTCAGACGTGATGCACTGGTACCGATTGCCGTGCGGAAGCAGAGAGAAAAGTCTATGGCTTGAGTCTAACGATTTCCCGGGCCTTCCTTTCACACCACCTGATATAGAGGTCCTGTATGGCAGGGAGCTCGCCCCCAGTCATGTACTGGGCTGTCCGCAACATCCCCTGTAGCGCCATGCGATCTAGGGTGGTGCTGTTGCCATACCAAGCAGTGATGCTGCCAGTCAAGATGCCCTGTGGTGCAGGTATAGTACTTTCTGAGGATTTGGTCAGTGGTTCAATTAGGATTTTAGATGCATTACCATTTCCACTATCCTCGTGTTGTTCAGTTTTCACTCCAGTCCATTCCACCCATTGGATTAAGTCACGTTTATGAAGTTGATTTATTTGTTGTTGATATTATGTTTACAAGTCACTGTCATACATACTACTGGCTAGATGCCGGCTACCACCCAGTCACTCAATCCTGCAATTTAGAGGCTGCTGCCCTATGTACATAGACATGGAATCACTGGTCACTTTAATAATGTTTACATACGGTTTTACTCATTTCATATGTATATACTGTATTCAATGCCACTCCGAGATTGCTCGTCCTAATATTTATATCAATCCATTATTTTACTTTTAGATAGTGTGTCTTGTTGTGAATTGTCAGATACTAATGCACTGTTGGAGCTATGAACACAAGCATTTCGCTACACCCGCAATAACATCTGCTAAATATGTGTATGCGACCCAATAACATTTTATTTTATTTATTACTCTAGTGTGTCGGTAGGTGGCAGTACTGTCATAAAAAGGACGTGGAAAAAAGCATAAGAAAACAAATCCTCGCTCGCAGTTGCGCAGAAGTGGTCTAGTCAAACCCGGATGTAACCAACGCCTAATTGCCGGAGAAAAACGGTGAGTACTTTTCTGACAACGAGGGAAATTAATTTGTTTTAGTTTAATACATTTGAAGACAGTCATAGTGTAGATTCGTCCATAGTTATATATTAGTGCCTACTATACGTAAGAAATGTTGAATTGTCGTTAACTACCATAAGCGACTTTTTAGGAAAGTAGGTAGTTAGTAAGCAATCACAGGCTAACTGAGTGAGGGCGGTGCTTGCCAGCCGACCCAAATTGTCATAACTTTGAAAACTTGCATGATATGCGGCTAGTCTCGAATGTTTTGGACTGTACAAAATAACCAACTATCAGCAATGTTTTATGACAATCTAACTTTGCCGTGAGTAACTTAGCTAGTCAGCTAACTTTACCCAAAATGATCTGGCTAGCTATATGTTTAACGTTAGTGTCTCCCGAATAGCCGGTACTTGCTAACGCGTTTGGTATGAAAGTATTGCTCAATTTTGCCTGACACAATTTGCTCTACTCTGTACAAAGTAAGGTTTAGCTTTCACATTCATTTTAGAGTGACTGAGGCGCTAATGGCTAGTTACAGATTGTTACACCAGATAATGTGTGAAACCAAATATTTTTGGTATCCATTACTGGGAGTTACAGGTTAGGTACTGTAAGCACAGAATTTGACCAACCTTAATGATAGTCTTCGTTGTCAATTCGGCGAAACATGTAGATTCTAAAATGTATGTGTTCAGTTGCAGGTGGTGCGTTTGAATTTAGAAAATGCTGTTATTAAAATAAATCAATGTTTTGCTCCATGAAGTAATCAAACAATGTGTACGGCGCCATCTTAGTGTTGGTCGAAAATTATCTGTGCTACACCAAACACTACCTAACCTGTAACCCCCAGTAATAGATCGCCAAAATCTTTGGTTAAAACACATTATCTGGTGAAGCTATGTCATGGCCGGCTTGCTGTCCCTGCATTTTTCTGGGAAATATGGGTGCATTTAGACACGTTTTTTTCTCTCCACTAATTGGTCGTTGACCAATCACGTCAGATCTTTTCACATCAGATTTTTTTTCAGAGCTGATCTGATTGATCAAAACACCAATTACTGGAGAGAGAAAAAGGTCAGAATTGGGCCCCTCCACTACATTTGCTGGCTGCCAAAGTTAGGCAGGGATGTAGCTCAGTTGATAGAGCATGGCTTTGCAACGCCAGGGTTGTGGGTTCGATTTCCATGGGGGGCCAGTATAAAAACATGTATTCACTAACTGTAAGTCGCTCTGGATAAGAGCGTCTGCTAAATGACAAAAAAATAAAAAAAATAAGTTAAGGCAAAACTGTAGAGCCAATTGTTTATTCATAAGAAATGTCATTTCCTTTCACGTGTTTAGGTATAGACTAGCTGCTTTTAGAAACGCAACAATTTACACACTAGCGTTGCTGGGAATTTGCTTGCAAAAATCCCGACTAGTCCGCCAGAAGTTAAATAACATTTAATTTCAATTTACTCTGTTGATTGTCTGTAGGCTTGGTCCTTATGCAGGGGGGAATTTGTGTTAAAAAAAAAAAAAACACATCTAGTGGAACGTATAATTAAACAGAATTTCCAAACGTGGGTCTGTTGTAGACCCATGCAGTTCCTCAGCGAGGTCAGTTCCTCTCTGCATCATGTCAAAAATAAAAATCCCTCAGAGGTTCTTGCTTTTTTTTGTGCATGTATGGCACACGTGCATGACATTTATTTTGACATGAAGAAAGCGGAGAGGAAGTGGGTCTACCCCAGAGGTCCACGTTTGGAAAGTCTGTTTAATGTATGTAATATGACCTGGGTTTTTTTCTCAATTTCCCCCTGCATAAGGACTAACCCTAAGGACAATCGGCAGAGTAAGTCTAAATATAATTTTATTTAACCTCTGACTTCCGGCGGACTATCGCATATTTTTTTCATGGTAATTCCTGGCAACACTAGTGTGGAAATACTAGCGTTGCTAAAAGCAGCTAGGTATAGACTACCCTTTTCTAATGTGTTAATCTACTTATTCAGCAGAAGTAACGATTTGACATTAGAATCTTAAATCAGGCAAAACGCAACAAGTAGTCATGACTGTAAATCATGTCGCTTCCCTTTCCCTGTCATGTCTTTGCTATGCAAGTATGCGGAAGTTAACGTTGTCCGCAACATTCAAGTGTAGCTGTAACTGGAAGTAACTTTGTATTACATAGCACCAAGTTTGTCACGGAGACATATTTTTGGGGAAGTCCAGGCTTCCTTCCTTTTATTATAATAATATGCCATTTAGCAGACGCTTTTATCCAAAGCGACTTACAGTCATACTTTTGACTATTAGAAGTCCCCCCCCCCTTTCCCCATAAAGGATCGATTTGTGACAATCAGCATGTTTCAAATGCGGTCAAGCATCGTTTGTGGTTTGATGATCCTTGTTTTGAACATTAGCCAAACACACAATGAACATTACCTGTCTGTACATCAATAGACTACAGGCCAGGCAGACTGTGTTATTGCTAATCGCGGTGCTGTTGTCATCTCCACTCTGTCTGGTTCTGTTGTTTTTGGTTTCCCAGTTACTGTTAATTTGTGGAGTCACAAGCAAGGTCTCAAATGTGTCCTTCGTGAGATAGTAACTCTACTATGTTATGACTGGTGTATGTGTGTCCTCTGTCTGTGTCTGTCTGTCTCTCTCTGTGTGTAGATGCAGACTATAAAGTGTGTAGTGGTGGGGGACGGAGCTGTAGGAAAGACCTGTCTACTGATCTCCTACACAACCAACAAGTTCCCCTCAGAATATGTGCCTACGGTAAGAGGTGGGCAGGGGAGGGTGTAAGTAGGGGCAGATGAGTCACATCCTAAACACTGTGGAGGTCAATGGGGTGATGTCCAGAGAGCTGAGTAGGAAGGGAGAATGGGCTGTAACACCATAACCAGCCTGCCAGTTGGGGTAATGTTTGATATGAGCCTTTTTTTAAAACGTTTATCTTATTTTAGATGGGTAACATCCCTTTACCTTTTTTACTCATTCTTTTGTGTCTCATGTGTGCAGGTGTTTGATAATTATGCAGTGACTGTGATGATCGGAGGGGAACCCTACACACTTGGGCTTTTCGACACAGCAGGTAATCTGTCTCTGTCTGTCTGTGTCAATTTATGCTTTTATGTCTGTACATCCTTTTGTTAAGCAGTTGCTATGCTACAACTCAGTCCTAGTCTGCCTTTGTTCTTTCTTGAGAACATATGTCTTGTAAATGCAACTCAACCAGTTGAATCATTCAATGTCACATTCGTTTAATTGTGTCACAGCATTCTCTCCCTCTGATTGGTCGTCTCAGGTCAGGAGGATTACGATAGGCTGCGACCTCTCAGCTACCCGCAGACGGACGTCTTCCTCATCTGTTTCTCCTGTGTCTCGCCCTCATCCTTTGAGAACGTCAGAGAGAAGGTCAGTGTTGGTCTCTGAGTCGCCACACCTCAACTTTTTCCCTTGTATTATTACCCATAGAGAAACTTGTAGATGATAGGTCTGAACCCTTTCCTTAGCCACTTCACCTTCTGTTATTGCAGAAGATCCCTCAAAGCCCATTGGAAGGCTATGTGAAGACATCCTCATATTGCTTACATCAGGGATGGGCAACTTTGATGGGGCCGCAGTGGCACACGGGTCTGTGTACCCACATCCATTCCCACACATGCAGTCAGAACCGGCCTTAGCCTTTCAGGGGCCCTAAGTTTTCTTGCGAGCAAAACAGTGAAGTTTTAGAGTTAATTTCCTGCAATTCTACACATTTTGCCATGGAGCATAGAGAAAATGTTTCAGTTTTAAAGTAATTTTGCTGCAATTCTATACATTTTGCCATGGGGCGGAGAGAAGATTTCTTCAATTCTACACACTTTGCTGTAGGGTGGAGAGAAATGTTTGCAGTTTTTTATATGATATCTGAGTCAGCGTGAATAGCAAAGTTAATGGGGGCCCCCCGGTCAGTAATTCGACCATGATTACTACAAGTTTAGATGGCTGGCTAGACTAACTTACCAATCTAAAAATTCTTAGTTGACATGGCTAATTCAGTGACTGTCAGTGACTAACAAGATAAACTGCTGATGCACAACCACATTTCAAAATTGCACATTGTATTCTACTATTCTAACTCTCAACAGTAAGTTCAGACTCCGAATGAGTTCCTAACACACAGTCTGACCTCTGTGTATCCTTCGACCCCTGTAGTGGGTTCCAGAGATCTCCCATCACTGTCCTCGTACACCCTTCCTGTTGGTGGGCACCCAAGTGGATCTGAGGGACGACAGCAACACTGTGGAGAAGCTGGCCAAGAACAAACAGCGCCCCCTGTCCCCTGAGAGCGGAGACAAGCTGGCCCGGGACCTTAGGGCCGTCAAATATGTGGAGTGCTCCGCCCTCACGCAGGTAAGGGGCCAAGGATTATGATGATGTTACATGGTTAGGGGGGAAAAAGGGCTGTTGAGGAACCCCTGGCGGCTGAAACATTGCTATACTTCACAAAATAGGTTAGAATACCTTTATAAACCATGAAAAGTCAATGCAAACTCTCTCTTCTCTCTCTCTCTCAGAGGGGGCTGAAGAACGTGTTTGACGAGGCCATCCTGGCAGCTTTGGAACCTCCTGAGACTAAACCCAAGAAACGCTGTGTCCTGCTATAAAGGGAGGAGGGGAGAGAGAGAGTGGTAGAGGGGCAGGGTTAAGAATGGGCGAGTTGGTTACAAATAAGAGAAGCAGATCAACAGCTTGAAAAAGGACAAAAAAGAGTGAAAAGGAAGGAGATGAAGTGGCATCGAGACTCCGATACATTCATGCACTGTGCCTTCTTAATATGTATTGAAAAAAGGAGAGGAGAGCGAAAGCGATTTGGTCTTTCAAGTTAAGAATACCAGAGGGGAAGGAATCAACAGAACTTTCATCTAGTCTCCTTCTCCAGATACACTTTAGACATCTGCAGTGTTTCCCCTAACATTACTTTGGTGGGGCGGGCTCTCCTACCTGCCCGTCACGTTGCCTTTGTGCCTAGCTTAAATGAAATGTATACCTTGGGGAAACAGTTAATTTACATTGTTTTCTTTTGTTGCTACTTTGAGGAGGGAGGGAGAGAACACAAGATTTATTTCCACTCCCGACCAGGCTAGCATGCTAGAACGGTCACTTTTCCTTTTGGGACACACCAAGTGCATTTTCGCCTCAGATTTTACTGCCTTCTGCAGGCGACACCAAGAACTGAATTTATATAATTTTTCTCTCTTTTTGTTTCATGTATGATGTATTAATTTTATGATATTCTTAGCGGTTATTATTTTATTTTTTTTGATTAAAAAAATACAAAATAATCATTTGATTTATTTTTTGTTTGACTACCAACTTGATTGTGATTGGTTGATAGTATAACAAATTAAGCTGTAGTATTTTGAATAGCTGATCTTAATCTTGATAATAACAATGATGGTGCGATTATAACCTTTTCCTAGTCAACTTCTGGATGTTTATAATCACAGAATGTTTGTAATAAAATGGTCCTTGAGTTGGTGTGTAATTCTTATTTTTCTATATATGTTTCATGTGACGGTATACAGCACACATCATAGAAGAAACTGTAGTCAAAACAAGTTTATTTGACCAAGTCAACTGTGCAGAACACTAGCAACATGCATCACAATTGTTTCACAACAGAGCGTTGGACTAAAGCAACATGGATGCAGACACGGACTGGGGGGAGAGGACAGGTATTCTCACTGGTGGAATCTGAGGGGTAGGAGGAGGGGCCACAGGATGATTGATGTACAAATAAATAAAAGACTCATAAATACAGTAAATGTATAAAGACTGCAACTACATACTACACTGAAATCAAATGCATTTAAGAAAAGGGCTGTCATAATTTCCCTGTTAGTTGTGGTTAATGTTGGCTTTAAAAGCTTTGTCAGTTTAAGTTAATTGTGTGTGTGCTGTAAGTTGTGTGTCATTGTGAACTAGACAATCACCTATATACAAGTATACTGTGGGATGCTGACGTTCCTTTAGGTTGAAAGAGTACATCATCATGAGTGTAATGTGTTCCATGGGAGAGTTAATATTGCTCTATGCAGTGAGTATCCTTTCCTGTCTCCATGCGTGTTAGTATATCTCTATTTTCTGGCATTAGAGGTCATGGGAGAGGTCATTTCACCCTTTCTGCTTTCCCTGGCAGAGGTTTCTGTCATGCATAGGTCCTCACTCTCGCAATGCACTGGTTTATACTATCCACACAGTTCTGACCAGAGTGTTAAAGTATATGTCAGGTCAGTTTTGTAGAATATGTCATCAGTGCCGTTCTACAGCAGGGGTTCCCAACCTTTTCCCCCAGGGCCCCACTTTTCAAATTTGAAAAATGAAACTTTGTTTAATTTCAAGGACCTAGAATTTTCCTGCAATTCTATGACTCATGACAACTTATAGGCTGATAATAATAATAATAATGGATAAGGAAAATAAAGTCTAAACCCGATTTCCCAAAATGTTATTTCGCTACCAAATATGTTTTATTGTAATTTATATGAAACTCAATTTAATTATACATATGATCTTTTACAGAAAGTGAATAGATCAATTGATAGCGACAGAGTCACACATTGTATGAGATTACTTCCCAAGCAAAGTCCAATTTCTTTGAGTCCTTGACTTAGGTCGTAGCTCAGATTCTGAATGTCATCGAGACAAACCAAAGATATTCCCAGAGTTGCGCCTTCCTCTGGCATTTTACCGCTTCTTTCTAGCCTAAAGCATCACATATTTATGCGTTGTTTTATATAGGTATAAATAATCAAAAAATGTTTTAGCCCTGAAGTCAAGGAAGGTCCAATGTTGCCGCCCCCTAGGTTGGGAACCCTGGTTCTAGAGTGTCTGGTCCACAGGAGGTTGGTGGCACCTTAATTGGGGAGGACGGGCTCGTGGTAATGGCTGGAGCGGAATCAGTGGAATGGTATCAAATACATCAAACACATGGCCTCCATGTGTTTGATGCCATTCCATTTACTCCGTTCCAGCCATTATTATGAGCCGTCCTCCCCTCAGCAGCCTCCACTGGTCTGGTCGTTGTAGTGTTCCAGAATGTCTGAGTAGTGTTGTGTTCTAGAGTGTCTGGGTAATATTCTAGAATGTCTGGAAAGGACAGTGTTGTGTTCTAGAGTGTCTGTTTAGTAGTCTAGAATGTCTGGACAGTGTTGTGTCTTTGTAGTGTTCTAGAGTGTCTAGTTGTTGTAGTGTTCTAGAGTGTCTGGGCTGTGTCCTGGAGTGTCTGGACAGGTGTAAGGTTCTTGCGTGTCTGCTCTGGGTTCTGCATAGACTGGGTTCACACTCGGCAGGTGTGGATCATCACTGTGTTCTTGCACTGCTGGCAGCGGACCGAGCAGCACCATGAGAACTTACAGGAGCAGCGCTGCACCACCTCAGCCCGGCCCGCCCGGTACCCTGGCCCACAACACACCAGCTCGCAGCCATCTGGGGCCAGCCGGGAGGTGCCTGGGAGGGGAGGATGGAGACAGGTAGAGGAAAGGAAATAAGGATGTGAACATCCAAAACAGCCTGATCACCTAATAAAACTTAAATTCTTTATCCCAGTGCTGGTGATGTGACTGAATCTCACCGTTACAGCGTCGGCCGGCGGTCCCGGGGATCCCATTGTCGGGGTCGAGACGACAGAAGTCTGGCGAGGCAGCGAGGTACACCAGGTCCCTGGCAGCGGGGGGTTTGACCTGGGGGTCCCGGGGCAGCAGGGCTGTCCTGGAGCCGATACGGGACAGACGCACCTGGGTGAGTGGGGGTATTTGTTGATTGTTAGAGATTGTGAAAAGACTGGAAGCAGCATAAATCACTAATTTCCAAATATATGGCTGTACCTCTGTGGCTCCATCAAAGCGTTCCTTCAGCACAGCGCCGACGCGCCGAAATGGAGGCATGACTTTCCAGCAGGTCCTCAGCTCACAGGATCCCGAGACGCCATGACACTTACACTCTACCTGCATGTTATGGAGGATGGCCTGGGGATGAAGGAATGTAAAAGAACGATCAGGAGGTCAAATGAAACGAGGAAGAAAGATGATAGAAGTGAAGATTGGCATGTTAGAATAATTGATGATGTCATCAGAGTGCCCCACCACCACCAACCTTCCGTCCAGCCTCGTTGTTATGGACATTCATGAGGGGTCGCCCTGCTGACATCCCCTTGGCACGCTCCGTCTCATCTACAAAGGTCTGGGAGAAGGCCACTCCATAGGATAGGTTATCACTGCACCCAGACCACTGGAAACCTGCAGGACAGACAGAAAGACGTTGACAGCATCTGCACATTTTTCAACTATGTTTTTCAAAGTTTACCTGACAGACAGCAAGAGAGACAGACATATAGACACACCCCAGACTCACCCTCGGGACTGACCCCTCTGACCTTCCTGTCGCAGCCACACCGCTCTAGCTCCCCTCGGCTGCAGCCTCGCGTCACTGCAACCGCCACCGCCGCCGAGGACAGGGCGTGCACAAAGGCCGCCTCACGCGTGCCTGGTTTTTAGAAGAGATCAAGACAGCCATTGAGTCATTTACCATGTCATCACATGTCCCTAGTCCTTCTGATTTCAGCCATGTGGAATCAACGGCTTTTCTGTTACCAGCATGTTAATGACTCTGGTACAACCACAGATCTCCAGTGGTAACTAGAGTGGCCCTGCTGTCCTCACCTTGGCTCATAACTCTACCGAACACGTTGACTCCACGCGGGGTGGTGGAGCAGTTCCAACGGCGATTACGAAACTGGTGCTGGCACTGATCAGACCAACAGCCAAGCCAATGGAACCGAGGGTTATAGACAGGCAGATAGACGGACAGACGGACGGACATTAATACGGGTGGACAGATAAAGACACACATTTTACGTAGGTGCTGAGGGGAGTGAACTTTGGTAAAACTGGTGCAATTGTCTAGTACTTTACTGACTGAGTACAGATGAGGGGATGTTAATGATGCTTGTTAAAGAGGCAGAAGAAGATGATTGAGGAGGTTAATGATGACGCTCCTCCACACTGATTGATATGGATATCGATTGAAGAAGATGATTTTGGTGAAGATGACTATAACAACAGCGCTGATGATGCTGATTGAAGATGATCTTGAGAAAGACAATGAATGAGCTTAAAAAAAACTCTTCCCCATGTACTTCACTACTTTTGTGACACAACAAATTGACACTTCTGCCCCAGGCTCATACCTCCTCTATGACCATCTCGGCTGCCTTGCGCACGGACTCCATGACCTCCCCCCGCGCCCTGCACACCCCCACCTGCCCCACGGACAGTCCCCTCAGCCGCCCACAGGGGGCAGCACCCGACACGGGCCGCGAGCGCGGCATTCTCGCCAGGGAGCTGAGAGAGAGAAAGAGAGGGAGAGGGGAAGATGCAGGGGAGTGAGGGGAGGGGCAGAGGGTGAGATAGAGGAAGGGGAAAGTGGGGGAGATGGGGATTGAGAGGGTAAAGGGAGAGAAGGGGTGAGATAGAGGGTAAGGATAGAGGGAGAGGAAGAGAAGGACGGAGAAAGAGAGGAAAGGAGAAAGACCAGCATACAAAAGGGATAGAGGAGACACAGTGAAGGGAGGGAGAGAGGGAAGGAGGGCGAGAGAAAGGGAGAAAAGGTCAGCAAGGGAGAGACAGAGAGATTTAGAGGCACGTCACCATCTTTTAAAAGTGATAGTATGACAAACAAACTCTCTCTTTCTCTCCCTCCTGGAACGCCAGACTTACAGCCAGTTGGTTGCCATGGTCGGGTGGGTTGCCCATAGCAACAGCAGGAGGAGTTGTGCCGTGATATTGACAGCGGAGACAGTTGGCATCAGACTGTCTGTCTGTCCGTCTCCGTGCGTCAGTGAGTGTCCTTGGGCAGCAGTCTGCCCGTTTCCACGGTTATGCCGCGTTGTCCGTCAGTCTGTCAGTTTGTTCTATTATGGGGTCTATGTTTCTGGTTCCGAGCTTGGGGATGATCCCCTCATATCTGCAGATAGGAGAAGGTCCACCTGGTTAGTTAAGTAATGTGTCCTTCTGTTGGAGAAGCTCATCTCTCCCTCTTACAACTTATTCACAACCATCAGGTCTGTGATCAAGACTGTAGATGAGGGTGGTGCTATTTCATTTTCTATGAAAAATACTATGTACAATACATAACAAGTTCTCTGGATGAGTACAGCTTAGTAATAAACTTGGTTTCTTACCAGTTCATGTCCAGCACTGTCCAGTAGTTTTTCTCTTTGGAATTGTGTCTGACCAGATTTAAAATTAAATCCAATTTCTCAGTGAACGGTATCAATCTTATAGTTGAACAATTTCCACCTCTGTGATAGCAGAAACATGCCTATAGGAAGCTATTGTCATGTAAAGTTATCCAGATACACGTAAAAAGAAACAAGATTAGATTTTTTTAAACTATCCAAATAGTATCCGATGTTTCTTTGACCAAATAAAATTACTTTTTAGAATGATTTTGCAGACAGTGATCAAAATGATGACACTTTTTATTTGTCTGTTTCCCTTCTCTCTATCTCTCTATCTCTCTCTCTCTAGAAACGTTTTTGAGAGCGAGACAGTTGTGGAAACATCAAAAATTAACATCCAAAAGATCCCCTAAAATTACGGTAGGTGAATATGTAAAAAAGCATTTTTCCTCTCTGCTGTTTGTCCCTTGGTTGCTTCCCCTCGTTAAGAAAACGAATGTGTGTCCAGTCCCGTAAAAGACCGAAAGAAAGAGTGAGAATGGTGAGATGGGAGTGATGGGTTATAAAGGAGGGAGAGAGAGAGAGTGAGGGAGGGAGAGAGAGAAGAGATGTAGGGGGGCATTCAGAGGGAGGGGACACAGTGTAATGGTTACACTACAGTCCATTAACAGGAGGAATGGCATGGGCTCCATTGTGCATGTTAAGGACAAGACATAATGTGTGACCCGCACTGGAGATAGGGAGAGCTAAACAGAATTCTGCTGAATGGTTCATTTAGAGACCCATTTAGTGTTTGTGTGTGTGTGTGTGTGTGTGTGTTCGTACTCACCAGTTTCCAAGAACTTTAAGAGCGTCTGTCAGAATATGTCCCTGTTCATTCAGTGGCCCTAGCTACAGGTTCTCTCTCAGGCCACATTGTGTGTTTGACTGAAACGTGCAGCGGTTACAGTGGCGTGTATGAAATACCCAGCAGAAGATTAAATAGACGTGACCGTACACAACCCTCGTCACTAAGCTTTTTTGTGTATATAGGTATGTGAGAAAGTGTCTTACCTAATGTTTAATCTTCCCAAACTTTGTTGCTCTTTTTACGAGTTCCCACCTCCCCTCCTCTATCTCCCCCGCATTTGCCCTCTCCTTCTCTCCTTCTCTCTCTATATATATTGTCTTAGAAGAAGGGGTGACATTTAGACAAGGGGAAGAAAACACACTGGCGACAAATATTGGAACTGAGGCAAATAAATCACGAAAGTGGAGGGGAGGGAGGGATGGAGGGGGGGATGGAGAGAGAAACTGCTGGGGTGTTAAACTGAGGTTAAGGGGAAAAGGGGGCAGAAAGGAACATTCAGGGATGTACAGTAGAGGGAAAGACTGATATTAGAGTTCAGGGAGGGGGGTTGGTGCTCCCTTATGGTTCCTGTAGACCACTGTGTGTATGTGTGTGTGTGTGTGTGGATGTGTTTAACTATTCTTGTGGGGACCAGAAGTCCCCACAAGAATAGTAAACGAACAAAAATGTAACCAACTGGGGAATTTTTTTTTGTCCCCACAGGGTCAAATGCTATTTCTAGGGGGTTTAGGGTTAAGGTTAGAATTAGTGTTAGGGTTAGAATTAGGTTTAGGGTTAGGAGCTAGGGTTAGTTTTAGAGTTAGGGTTAGGAATTAGGGTTAGGGTAAGAGTACGGGTTAGGGTTAGGGGCTAGGGAAGTTAGGATTTTGAATGGGACTGAATTGTGTTTCCCCACAAGGTTAGCTGTACAAGACTGTGTGTGTGTGTGTATATGTGTGTGTATGCTTGTGTGTGCTTAGGGATACCCCTGCTGTTGGGGTGTGTATGGGGTAAAGGTAAACTCAGACGCGGTGGCACAGTAATTGTCTTCTCATGATCCCAAAGCTCTAAACGTTTTCTGTCCTTTGTCTCTAGTTCTCTGAGTTGATCCAGCTCCCAGTGATGTAACATTACTACAGATACGTCAGGTTTCTCAGAACCAGATTTCTCAGAAACGTGTAGGATGACAGTAGGTATTTATTGAGTAGTTACTAGGTTACTATGCATATACATTTCCTCGAACTTCTGTTGTGTCCACTAGTTAGGATACGATCACAAGGAAAGGAGATGTTAAGGTCCCAAAGTAACCAATCCTTGTCCTGGAGAGCCATAAGGTGCAGGATTTTGTTCTAGCCCAGCGCTGGAAAGCCTGACTGAACTAATTTACTACTTGTGTTAGATCTCCAATAGTTGATTTAGGTGTTTTAGCGCTAGGTAGGAACAAAAACCTGCACACTTTGGCTGTCCAGGGCTGGGATTGGTGACCTACTGTATGCCCATCTCTTATAGGCCTATCTAATAGTGCTGAACAGTGTTTGGTTGATTAGTTGAAAGAGGTGTATGAGACCCTTGTTGCCCAGCCGACCCCTGCTCTACAATCTATAATGATATCACTATCTTATGGCATGGCGTACCATAGTCTACCTGAACCCAGTGACACGAGGCCCTCTCTAAACAAGCAAATAAATAACCTAATTCTGGGTTGGCTCCACTGCCCCCCCCTCCCACCTCCCCAAACCTCTCTCTCTCTCTCTCCATTTGAACAGTCCCTCTCTCTGTTTCCCTCCTCCCTCCTTTTTAACTCTCCTCCATGTCGTATTCCTCCTTTGTGTCCGTCCGTTTCTCTCAGTGACGTCTTCCGCTGTATCCCCCAGCAACGCCATGGCGATGGGCTCGCCACTGTCACGTCCGGCGCCTCCGTTGTGCTCATCCCTCCGTCCCTTCACCCCTCTCTCGTAAATAACATCCCCTCTTTTTTTATCTGTCTTTCCCCCTGTTGGAGTCCTTTTTATCATCTGTAGATGGCCTCACTTACGCTCTGATTGTCTATAGTCACGTTGCAGGTGTGAACTAGCTACCCCAACACCTGTGCCTATATAGTAGTTTGTGTAATTTCTTAGAGTTTTCCTAACATCCAGGTGGGTGGTGCAGTCAGAGGTGTCATGGACGGTGAACCTCAAAGCGGCAGTGGTGGCCAAATTCAATATCTTTGAATTAATTCTGTGTATAAAAAACGATATCTTGGATACATTTATCCTACAAATAAATACAACTGAGGGGGCACGAATACATATTGGTGGTGAATAGTGGCTTGAGTTCCAGTGCTTTGAGCATTGAAAAAGTGCTATATAAATTAAACCCTATAGCAGTATGATGATGTAGCTAGTATAACAGGTAGGGCTGCACTGTGACTCCATCCAGATATCTCTACTGTACTGCTATCTCATAGTGTGCTGATTATTACTGGATGGCCAGCTGACCTCATTCTCCTGTGATCGCCCTTGGTAACCATGAACTCTATCGCAAAGCCTTCTCTTAGGTTATTATGGGATGGAAATTTGATCCCTCCTATTTTCAACCCTCTCTGGTGGTAACTCTCTCTCCATGTCTCTCTCTCTCTCTCTCTCTCTTTCTCTCTCTGGTGGTCTCTCTCTCTCTCCCAGGGGTAAATGCTAGCTGCGTTCTCAGCCTGAGTATGAACAAAGCAGTCATATCTGACTTAGACGTTACCATATACTGTGAAGGCACACCCACCGGAGAGAGAGATTTCTTCTCAAGCTACCCATTTCCATTGTAAGGACAGGCGCTGGATAGTAAATTAGTACTGCTGAATGCACTGCCGTATGAAAATGTGCTTGCACTCATAGTGTGTTTGTGTGTATGGGCGGTGGTGGAGGGAGCTGTGAATATTATGGGATGGATGTGTTAGAGGGGTGGGGGGGGTGAGCAGCAGATGTGTGGGGGGCAGTGTGTGAGGCTCTGAATATTATGGGATAGATGCGTTGTTAGGCGGTGGGTGGGGGGTGGCTGTGAGAGGAAGGGAGGGGGATTGTGAGTATTATGGGATAGAGAGGTTGTCAGGCAGGGGCCTGAGAGGGGGAAGCTAGGGGAGAGTGTGTGGGTTGTGCGGGTATGGGGGGGATATGAGTGGAATGTGTGTGTGCGCGTGCGTGTGTGTGTAGGGTGCTATGAATACTATGGGATTCAGGTGTTATGAAATGGAAGTGGGTTGTATGGGGTTGGGGGGTAACAGAGCATCCAATCGCAGACAACAGACAATGGTCTGACATTGGGGGCTTGGGGTCATGGCGAGGGGAAATGTTATGAGGTGTGCAGTCAGAAAGGCAGAGAGAGTAATGGCTGACTACACCTGGGCTGAACACACTGGCAGACAGCTGTAGAGAGACATTGAGTTCCCTCCAGGGTTGGTGTGTCAACTCCATTTGAATTCAATAACAGTCATACCTGGAAGACATACACTTTACAGCTCAACAATAAAAACAATCTGAATTTCAATTGACCATTACCCCAGTAGAAACATAAGCTAATTAAACACCACCAAGGCAGAGATTATTCTGGTGTAGGGCCTCTTGCATCCAGGGCACAGTCAGTGCACTTGACCTGTAGAGGGAGTAGGCTCCCAGGCTATTTAGTACAAAGCACAAGAAGACATATCTGCTGGACAGGTGTTTGTTCTACGTTTATAAGGATCTGTCTGTCTGTGTCTGCCTGTCTGTCTGTTTGCTTGTCTGACTGTCTGAATGCTTACCTGTCCCTGTGTGTGTGTGTGTCAGTAGCTTTTAGGAACTGATTTATTAAGCATTTTGACCTGTTATTATCAGGGGAATAAAAAAAGGTAGAACAAGAAGATACAATTGTTGCTATTTACACTTCTATTTTCTTTGTCTGCTCTAAAAAAAGCAGTATGTAAACTTTACACTGGTGCAAAAGCCTGGTTGATATGCCCATAATGTACTATTGATAAATCAATATCAGCGATACAGTAACAAAGTTACAAAATGAACAGTGTTTGGTTTCAGGAACCCTGGGCCAGGAAGAAATACCTTGCAGAGACCTAATGGTGATGGTGAGAGAGGGAGGTAAGAAATTCACACACACACTACAACATGATACCATTCTATTGTCTGTCATCTAGAAAATGCCACCCAATAAGGACAGAATCCAGCCATTCAGAGTGATGCATGACAGTGTGTGACCAATGTGTATTTACAATGATAGATGAATGCACATAATAATAATATAATATGCCATTTAGCAGACGCTTTTATCCAAAGCGACTTACAGTCATGTGTGCATACATTTTTACATATGGGTGGTCCCGGGGATCGAACCCACTACCCTGGCGTTACAAGCGCCATGCTCTACCAATTGAGCTACAGAGGACCACATCTCTGCTAGGTCCACTAGACTTGATTCTTATCCCTGATTCAGTCATAACAGATTAGGGTATAAGTCAATTAATCAATCGATCAAATGTATTTGATAAAGCCCTTTTTATATCAGCAGTTGTCACAAGGTGTTTTAAATGTTTCTGTCTGCGTGAACATACCGATGCTGTCAGGTAGTGTTTGCATACGGCATCAAAACATTAACATCCCTGGTCAACGCAATCTATTGACCATCTGTTGCCCAATTCAAGACTGAATGCATCTGTGTATACTTTAGATCAGTGGTTCCTAACCTGTTTCAGCTACTGTACCACCAACTGAATTTTGCTCTGCCCGGAGTACCCCTGAAGTACCCCCTCTTGTGCATTTTACCAGTAGGCCTATGGTCTGATGAATCTTCAGTCTTAAGTACCCCCTGTGGATAGGCCAAGTACCCCCAGGGGTCCTAGTACCCCTGGTTGGGAACCACTGCTTTAGATGCTCTTCTATATGGTTGAATTATCTGTGGGGGTCAATGCAATGTTGACCCTGTTTCACATTCTAGTTTCCTCTACCTGTCCACAGCACTGCATGCATAAGGTAGGCTGTGAGGGCTATGGGGACAATAGACCCCAACTGTACTGTGCCATCTCATAAATTGTTCTGTTGAGTCCAGAGACAGGTGCCTAACATGTGACACAGCAGTCCATCATTGACACAAGCAGCAAATGTTGCTGGTTTCCCTGTGTGTCCTGAACAATCACATGTGTGTGGCAAACCTGTTGTGTTATGTTGATGTGTGTATTTAAGACTAAGCCATGTGTACCATGTACTTCAGTACAGTGGGCCTATAGTTATTCCCATACAAGTGTTATAAAGCAGTCCTATACTGTGAGTGCAGTCTGTAAGTGCATAGGCACAGTGGTAGCCTAGCCTATGTGTGGGCTTCCATAGGTCTTCTGGGTGCAGTGGTACACATGCCAGGTGGACAGTCTGTGAATATGATGGTCTGTCACCAGTGGCCTGGAGTTTCCCTGGAGACCATGTGACTGGTATTTTTTCTTCTCTCTTTTTAGGAGTTGTGTTTATTATGGGATGTTGGTGGCTGGAGTATTATGGTCTGTCAGAGAGCGGGCGGGAGGAGGAGTGTCACCATGACAACGGGGTTGCTAAGGGGCTGGGACTGAAGGGGAAGGGTGTGTGTGCAGTAGAAGTGTACGTGCATGAGCGTGTGTGTAGAGGGGGGAGGTGTGTGCAGGATGAGTATTATGGTCTGGCCGTTGCGAGGTAACTATGCAGAGTTGTGTGAGTGTTACAGAACGGAGGGGGGGGGTTATTCTGGGATGTCTGCCCCCTTTGTGTGTTTGTGAAGATGTTAGCTAAGCTCTGCTAGCCACTGAGGCTGGGGGAGAGAAGGGGGACCGAGAGTGTGCAACGTGTTTTACGGGGTCATTAACGACACATTGTATTACGCTGGATATTGTTGCTCATTAATTTATATTAAAGACTAATACAATTTCTGAGAGACAATTATTACACGAAGGAAACCCATCTCTAACAGGGACTACAGTAAGTTTCTCACAAGTCTTAGGGGTTTCACTTGAACCCTGACTGTAACTGTAAATTAGCCTAAATTGAGTTTGTATCGCGAGTGGGGCAGTATTCCAGAGAAGTGCTATAATATATCTATCTATTCAATACACGATGATTGACGGGTGTCCATTGCTACAGCTTCCTGTGCGGTGTGGACATAGGCATGCCAATTGAAAACAAATGTTTTTCGATGTAATTAGATAGTTAACATGTCACCCCTTGACCTGTCAATATAATAAATACTTATTATTAAGCGAAAAATACCAATAGGATTGCTCATTCAAGCAAAAAAATGTTTTTTTTCTTCTTACAGCGCTCCCCCCTCCTCAGGACACCCCCGTTCCATTCTCCACCACCCACACGTCATTTGCCCTCCTCCCTCACAAGATCGGGCAAGGTTCGGCGGAGGGATTAGCTCGCTTTTAATTGAAATTAATTATTATTGAAATATGTCGGGAAGCGAGGACGAGAGGGAAGACTTGGGACCTACGGCACTTGCACATGGTAAGACAGCGATCAATTTTTTCAGAACAAGCATGCAGGTTGGTAACGTTAGTTAACGTTACGTTAGCTAGTTAGCTATCTAATTTGCTAGCTACTCTAGTCTTGTACTAGTAGTGACAATTTACGTTAGGCAGCCCAGTTTGCTAGCTAGCCGAATGTTTTGCTTCTACACTAGCTGGCAAACTTGATAGCAAGCTAGCTAGCTACCTATAGAGAGTGCGTAAGGATTTGCGCTGTCAATGCATGCTTGTTGTTGTTAGAAGTTGCGTCCACGACCATTTGCTGGCAAAGTCACACGAGTCATGCCTCTGTTCGGTACTGTACTGGCAACTGGCGTGCACTGCATATCTTTCCATCAAAATGTATCCAAAACGCTGTCAATAAAGCTTGTCTGGAGTTGACAGTTTCAAAATGTTATACAAATCCCTCGGTAATCTATGAATATATTTTTTAATGAATAGAATTATCTCATAATTATCTCAATCAATTATGCATTCTATTCAATCAATTCCTGTACCATTTCCAACGGCAGATGAGGAGGAACCAGAAGAGGCTGCGTCTGACATCGAGGTCCCCACCAAGTCAAAGAAGAAGAAGAAAGCCAAGAAGAGCCGTGAGAGCAGGATCAGCAAGAGACCAAGACCTGTCAGAGAGGTAGGATGGGCATGATCCTCCCTTACATGAAGTAGCCTAGTCACAGATATCAGGGATTGCTCCAAGGAAGTTGGGAGGGAAAATGCATTTTGAAGTATAATAATAATATGGATAGCCCCTAGCCTTTGACCCTTACCTTTTGACCTGACCTTAGTATCAATTTTCAGCATTTGTGAGATTTATTTTTCTTCGTATTTGCATCTAAATTGACTCATTTTGTTTCCTATCTCAGGAGGTGCCAGTCAGCTCACCAGAACCCCTCTTAGCAGTAGAGCAAGTAGCGAGGGAGGAGGAAGAGGGTGGAGGAGGTAGGGCCAGGTCAGAAAGCGAGGGAAGTGATTACGCCCCGAGGGGGAAGAAGAAGAAGCGCTCCAGCTCCTCCAAAGACAAGAAGAAGGGAGGAGGGACAAGTGGAGAGAAGGAGAAAGGAGGAGGAGGCTCATCCAGCTCCAAGAGTAAACGCAAAGAACCAGAACTAGAGAAAGATGATGATGATGATGAAGATGAAGAAGAAGAAGATAGCCAGGTGAGGATGAAGGCTAAGAGGATGTAGGTGGTGTGGGTGGGTTGTACAAGGGAGACGTTGGAGCTGTTCCCTGTTTAGACTTTGAAGCAGCCCCTGCAATGCACTTAAGTTTCTAAGTGACCCTGAATGTAATGATATCCTAACTCCTCCCACTCTCCAGGAGCCCAAGAGCTCGACTCAGCTGCTGGAGGACTGGGGCATGAAGGACATAGACCATGTCTTCACTCAGAAGGACTACACCACCATCACCAACTACAAGGCCTTCAGCCAGTTTGTCAGGTTAACACACCTCTCTCACGTCTCATGTTTTCTACTTGCTTTTTGCTATTCTCCTTCTGTTTCCACTGCAGCAGGTTTCAGTACCACTTCATCTGGATAGCGCAGCATTTGTGGATCGGGGGAGAAAGTTACTTCATATCTGTGTGACTGAGCTAGCTACGACCAGTCTGAAACTGCCCCTACTTCTACCCCAAACTTAAACTAACGTAGCAGGCGTAAAAAGACACTTGAGCAGAGTCCCCACATCCGTTTTTTCAGAGGAAATGGAAGTTAGGTTGAAAATACTGTATCCTTGAAAACCGCAAACATCGGCTTTCTGCCGGCCCCCCCATAGAGTGCCCCAAACTTAACCTCTGTCTCTCCTCTGGCCTTACTTCCCCAGACCCCTCATCGCAGCCAAGAACCCCAAGATCGCTGTGTCCAGGATGATGACTCTGATGATGGCCAAGTGGAGGGAGTTCAGCACCAACAACCCTCTGAAGGTAACACACCCAATACAAGACATTGCTATTACATGACATTACATTGCTATAACATTACATTACATTGCTATTACATGACATTACATTGCTATTACATGACATTACATTGCTATAACATGACATTACATTGCTATTACATTACATTACATTGCTATAACATTACATTACATTGCTATTACATGACATTACATTGCTATAACATGACATTACATTGCTATAACATGACATTATATTTCTATTACATGACATTACATTGCTATTACAATACATTACACATTTATTTGGACTATGATTGCATGTTCTTTATAGCAACGGTCCTGATTTCCATCCTGCCTTGTCTAACCCTCTGTAGGGCTGTGCCAGTGCCAACGCAGCCCTGGCAGCTGCCAACGTGGCTGCGGCCGTGGAAAGCATGGTGGTGGCAGGGGCAGAGGCAGGAGGGGATACTGGGGCGGGGGGTAGTGCCGCTAAAGACTCCTCTCCAGCTGCACCCGCTTCCATACCTGTAGCTGTGCCCGCTCCGCCCGCACCCCCACTCCGCAAGGCCAAGACCAAAGAGGGCAAAGGTGAGGAACAAGTTAGAGGAATGCTGATGGAGGGAGCATGTATAATATTATTGTTGGTGGTTCGTTGTTGTAGAATAAGGGGATCATTTAACTCTGTCCGTTTCCCTCTGCAGGCCCCAATGCTCGCAGGAGGTCCAAGCCCAACCCTAAGCCTGCCCCCAAGCCCAAAGCCAAGAAGGTGGCTCCGCTCAAGATCAAACTGGGAGGCTTCAACAGCAAGAGGAAGAGATCCTCGGTAAGAACACTAACTTGTCTGAGAATCAACTGATATGCAGTAAGCCTTGCCATACTTCTGTCCCACAATTCTATCATTGTATCTTTGTGTCTGTTTCTCTCTCTCCCTGTGTTGTTGCAGAGCGAGGAGGATGAGCTTGACGTGGAGAGTGACTTTGACGACGGGACCTTTGAAGTGTCGGACGGCTCCAACAGCCATAGCAGCCGCTCCAAGAAGAAGGCCAAGTCCGCCAAGAAGAAGAAGAAAGGTTGGCATGGAAACGCAACTGTCATCTCTTGACCTCTCATTCCATGTAGTGGAGGTGTTAGAACACCTGTGTCTTTTACTGTGCTTGGGGCTATAGCATTTAGACCAGTGGTCAGTTACATACCTTAGTTCAGGAGAGCTATAGGGGGTGCAGGCTTTTGTTCCAGTCTAGCACTAGTACACTTGGTTCAACTAATTATGTTGTTGATGATCGTGTGATTAGAGGAATCAGATGTAGTTGCTCTGGGCTGAAACCAAGGATCTGGCTCTCAGTCAATCATCTGATAATATTAGATGTTTTTAACAGGACCATCATCATGTACCATCCCCCTCCCTCCTAACTTCCCCTCTTCCCATTCCAGTTGAGGAGGATGGTGACGGTTATGAGACAGACCACCAGGACTACTGTGAGGTGTGCCAGCAGGGAGGGGAGATCATCCTGTGTGACACCTGTCCCAGGGCCTACCACATGGTCTGTCTGGACCCTGACATGGAGAAGGCCCCCGAGGGCAAGTGGAGCTGCCCCCACTGTGTAAGTACACAATGTACCCAGTCTGAAGTCGGCCCATAGTCCAACCCATGGCTAGGTAGAGTTGACACCATATTGCTTGTATATACTCTATGTATTTTCTCTTTAATGATTAAAGATGGGTGTGATATCCTATTTTTGATGTTGACCTTTCTCCTCCTATCTTTCACTCTCCCTCCCTTTGTCCTTCATCACATCACTCCCCCCCCCCCCCCCCCGGTTCCACTCTCGCTTCCCCTTCATCGTTCCACTCCCCTCTCTTCCCATTTCTTCTCAACCCCCCCACTCTCACTACCCCCTCCACCACACCCCTCCCACATTCTTGTCCCCCCCTCACCCTCCTGCTCTCCCCTCCCACTCTCTTTTTGTTCCTCTGTCCCTCCCTGCAGGAGAAAGAGGGGATCCAGTGGGAGGCCAGAGAGGAGCTGTCTGAGGGAGAAGGGGAGGACGAGGAGGTGGGGAGGGATGAGGGATGGGTGGAGGAGGAGGAGGATGACCATCACATAGAGTTCTGCAGGGTGTGTAAGGATGGAGGAGAGCTGCTGTGCTGTGACACCTGTACCTCCTCCTACCACATCCACTGTCTCAACCCCCCCCTCCCTGAGATACCCAACGGGGAATGGATCTGCCCACGCTGCATGGTGAGCCCTGCTGCCACACACACACACAGACCGACAGACCGAGAGAGAGAGAGAGAGAGAATCTCAACGTATGGGTGTTGGATGTACATTATTATTAAAGAGAACATGTTCTGTCATATGTGTGTGGGTGGATACACCTACATCATATGGAATTATTGATTTGAGTTGAGTCAGCTATACAGCTGGCATTTAACTCTAATTTCCGATCTCTTTAATGCTGCCATTGTTTTTTAAATGTATAAAGACGGAAGATTGCAGATAGAAATAGAAATGCATTATGTAGTGTTGACACGATTGACAAAGAAGGTATTTTCTACACAATATACACTGCTAAAAAAAATTAAGGGAACACTTAAACAACACAATGTAACTCCAAGTCATTCACACTTCTGTGAAATCAAACTGTCCACTTAGGAAGCAACACTGATTGACAATAAATTTCACATGCTGTTGTGCAAATGGAATAGACAACAGGTGGAAATTATAGGCAATTAGCAAGACACCCCCAATAAAGGACTGGTTTTGCAGGTGGTGACCACAGACCACTTCTCACCATGCTTCCTGGCTGATGTTTTGGTCACTTTTGAATGCTGCCGGTGCTTTCACTCTAGTGGTAGCATGAGACGGAGTCTACAACCCACACAAGTGGCTCAGGTAGTGCAGCTCATCCAGGATGGCACATCAATGCGAGCTGTGGCAAGAAGGTTTGCTGTGTCTGTCAGCGTAGTGTCCAGAGCATGGAGGCGCTACCAGGAGACAGGCCAGTACATCAGGAGACGTGGAGGAGGCCGTAGGAGGGCAACAACCCAGCAGCAGGACTGCTACCTCCGCCTTTGTGCAAGGAGGAGCAGGAGGAGCACTGCCAGAGCCCTGCAAAATGATATCCAGCAGGCCACAAATGTGCATGTGTCTGCTCAAACGGTCAGAAACAGACTCCATGAGGGTGGTATGAGGGCCCGACGTCCACAGGTGGGGGTTGTGCTTACAGCCCAACACTGTGCAGGACGTTTGGCATTTGCCAGAGAACACCAAGATTGGCAAATTCGCCACTGGCGCCCTGTGCTCTTCACAGATGAAAGCAGGTTCACACTGAGCACATGACAGAGTCTGGAGACGCCGTGGAGAACGTTCTGCTGCCTGCAACATCCTCCAGCATGACCGGTTTGGCGGTGGGTCAGTCATGGTGTGGGGTGGCATTTCTTTGGGGGGCCGCACAGCCCTCCATGTGCTCGCCAGAGGTAGCCTGACTGCCATTAGGTACCGAGATGAGATCCTCAGACCCCTTGTGAGACCATATGCTGGTGCGGTTGGCCCTGGGTTCCTCCTAATGCAAGACAATGCTAGACCTCATGTGGCTGGAGTGGGTCAGCAGTTCCTGCAAGAGGAAGGCATTGATGCTATGGACTGGCCCGCCTGTTCCCCAGACCTGAATCCAATTGAGCACATCTGGGACATCATGTCTCGCTCCATCCACCAACGCCACGTTGCACCACAGACTGTCCAGGAGTTGGCGGATGCTTTAGTCCAGGTCTGGGAGGAGATCCCTCAGGAGACCATCCGCCACCTCATCAGGAGCATGCCCAGGCGTTGTAGGGAGGTCATACAGGCACGTGGAGGCCACACACACTACTGAGCCTCATTTTGACTTGTTTTAAGGACATTACATCAAAGTTGGATCAGCCTGTAGTGTGGTTTTCCACTTTAATTTTGAGGGTGACTCCAAATCCAGACCTCCATGGGTTGATACATTTGATTTCCATTGATCATTATTGTGTGATTTTGTTGTCAGCACATTCAACTATGTAAAGAAAAAAGTATTTAATAAGATTATTTCATTCATTCAGATCTAGGATGTGTTATTTTAGTGTTCCCTTTAATTTTTTTGAGCAGTGTATTTCTTTGTGAATGTGTATCTGATTGTTCCTGAATTTCCCTCCTCAGTGCCCGGGCATGAAGGGTAAAGTCCAGAAGGTTCTGACCTGGAAGTGGGGTGAACCCCCACCCCCTACACCTGTGCCCCGCCCCCTGGACCTCCCGGCCGAGGCCCCAGACCCCGTCCCATTGGCCGGCCGACCAGAGAGGCAGTTCTTTGTCAAGTGGTGCAACATGTCTTACTGGCACTGCTCCTGGGTCCAGGAGCTACAGGTGACACACACAACCAGCAATATGCAGGCTCAATTAGGGCTGTGGCGGCCATTACATTTTGTCAGCCGGTTATTGTCATGCAAAAGTCTGGCGGTCTCACGGTAATTGACTGTTAATCTCCAGGCCTCCACGCATACAAGCTGCTGATGTGCACCTTTGGAACATCTACATTTAAAAAAGTATACTAAACCAATTTAATGTACACCATCACAATAAATCCATTATTTATTTTAGTCAGGTCTAAAGAAACATTATGATATGAAGAAAATATATTTCAGGTGAACATAATATGAGTTGGCCTACTGTAGGCCTATGTTATCTGTCTATGCTCCATGCCATACATAGGAGTACCCTTTGAAGAACCCTTTTTGGTACCAGGTAGAACACTTTTGGGTTCCATGTCAAATCCTTTCCACAGAGGATTCTACTTGGAACCCAAAAGGGTTCTACCTGGAACCAAAAAGGGTTACCCTATGGGGACAGCCAAAGAACACGTTTGGAACCCTTTTTTCTATGAGTGTAGGCTTGTTCATTTAGCTGACAAGATATGTGTAACGTATATGCCAGGAGTCAGGAAACAGGTGCAGAAGGTGAGTTTAATAATGAAAAGATACAAAATAACAAACATGAGAAGCATACTGAACCTGAGAGAAAACAATACCACCTAATGACTGATGACAACTGAGGGCTAAATAAAGGGGGACTAATCACGGAGTAAATGATGAGCCGGTGTGCGTAGTAGAGTAGCCAGGGGCGGTGGTTAGTAGACCGGCGACGTCGAGCACCGGTGGGAGGGAACAGGAGTAGGTTTGACAGTAGGTTTGACATGCCATTATTTTATTTTATATGATTTTCTAGTAAGAAGAATATCATTGAAATTAGCTGAATAAAATAGAAATAATATTTTTCTCATTACGGAGCGAGTGCGCATATGAAGTGGATATGTTGAGCGTAAAAGTGATCACTTGAAAATGGTCCTATATGCTAGATTCAATAGTTATTTGGCAACTTTAGTTGTGAATGATAAAACCGTAGAATATCTTAGAAATCAGACTGCTTCGATTTTATAGCAGAGCATGTGCTTAATATGAGCAGCTGAGAAAGAAATACAAGAACACTTATTTCACTCCACGCATAATAATACAGCCCACACTCAAAGGCACAATCGAATTTGTTTAATTTTGGACTATAGGCTAGACCAATTATGTACCAAAGACATCTTAAATCAGTTTTATGTTTTTCTGCCATGTGTAATATGCGGTTGGCTATGTACATCATCATTTTAATTCAGGTTTTTTGTCGAGCTTGGGCTCATAAGCCTATGCATATGCATAAACTCTAATATGCGAATGGGGTTTTGAAAAAATTATCACCTGAGAAAGCGCTGTCCATTTCAAACAACATCCACAACAACCATGTTTTACACTGTTTCAACCTGCTGTTGAACTTCTTTCTTCAAATTGACCATCACAGTGAGGTGAGTTTTAAATGTATGATAGGCTTACTGTTTTGATGATAAGTGTTTGATGTGATTTTCGAATGCATTTGCATTGATGTCAGAGTGGGTAGAGGGACAATAGAGCCCTGAGTACCAGATCATTAGGACCTGATGGTAGTTATCAAGTTGGGTACTACCAAAGCATGTCCAGAGTGCATAAAAGGAGATTACCGTGACTCAACGGTCACGTGGAATTTTACTGCGGTCAAGACTGCTGGTGTGGCGGTAATACGGTCACCACAACAGCCTTATGTACTAGATAGAGAGTAGACTCATCTTTTTCCCTCCTCGCTATTTTCCCTCTCTCCAGTTGGAGCTGAACTGCCAGGTGATGTTCCGTAACTACCAGAGGAAGACAGACATGGACGAGCCCCCGCTGGTGGACTTCGGAGGGGAGGGGGACGATGACAAGAGCACTAAGAGGAAGAACAAGGACCCCCTGTACGTCCACATGGAGGAGGAGTTCTACCGCTACGGAGTCAAGATGGAGTGGCTCATGATCCACCGCATCCTCAACCACAGGTAGAGCACACACACCTGGGATACACACACTAACACACACACACACACACCTGGGATACACACAATAACACACACACACACCTGGGATACACACACTAACACACACACACACCTGGGATACACACACACACACCTGGGATACACATGCTAACACACACACAAACCTGGGATACACATGCTAACACACACACACACACCTGGGATACACATGCTAACACACACACACACACACCTGGGATACATACACTAACACACACACACACACACCTGGGATACACATGCTAACACACACGCGCACACACACACACACACACACCTGGGATACACATGCTAACACACACACACACACACACACACACACACACACACACCTGGGATACATACACTAACACACACACACACACACACACACACACCTGGGATACACATGCTAACACACACACACACATGCACACACACACACACACACCTGGGATACACATGCTAACACACACACACACACACACCTGGGATACACACGCTAACACACACACACACACACACACAAAAACACACACACACACCTGGGATACACATGCTAACACACACACACACCTGGGATACACACGCTAACACACACACACAAAAACACACACACACACACCTGGGATACACATGCTAACACACACACACACCTGGGATACACACGCTAACACACACACACACACACCTGGGATACACACACACCTGGGATACACACGCTAACACACACACACCTGGGATACACACGCTAACACACACACCTGGGATACACACGCTAACACACACACCTGGGATACACACGCTAACACACACACCTGGGATTCACACGCTAACACACCACAGTATAGGTAACATACTACCTCCTAACACAGGCGTGTCAAAGTCAGTTCTGTAAAGGAAAGGCAGTTTTTTTGTTGTAAAAATAGCAAATGTTTTTTTTAAAAACCTCTGTATCCTATTTGTATCATTACAGATGTAAATGATAAAATGTGCATCACCATAATATCATAATTCTCTACTTCCCCTCTCCTCCTCTCTCCAGTGTGGATAAGAAGAACAACATGCACTACCTGATCAAGTGGAGGGATCTGGCCTATGACCAGGCCTCCTGGGAGAGTGAGGAGATGGACATCCCAGAGTACGACCAATACAAGCAGACCTACTGGAACCACAGGTACACACACACACACACACACGAACATGCACACACTCACCCATGCATGCACACACAAACGCCGACATCTCTGCCTATAGCAACCTATAGTAACCTATAGCAGTAATCTAATCCTCTTCCTGTCTTGCATCTTTCTCTACCTACCCCCTCTTCCATCTCTCTCTTTCTCTCTCTCTCTCTCTCTCTCCTTCAGAGAGTTGATGTTGGGAGATGAGGGCAGGCCCGCTAAGAAGCTGAAGAAGATAGCTAAAGTGAAGAAGAGTGAGAAACCCCCTGCTAACCCTGTGGTGGATGTAAGTACGGGTACTTCCTTGTTCCTTTTCATGTGAATCTTCCAAATCTCCCATTGACATTGATTCATGATTCTGCTCTATGATGTAAATTAAGATGTTTATCTTCCACTTCCCCTCCAGCCCACCATCAAGTTTGACTATCAGCCAGACTACCTGGACACTACAAGGGGAACGCTGCACCCCTACCAGCTGGAGGGCCTCAACTGGCTGCGCTTCTCCTGGGCTCAGGCCACTGACACTATACTGGCTGATGAGATGGGTCTAGGCAAGACTGTCCAGACCGCTGTCTTCCTCTACTCACTCTACAAAGAGGTGTGTTGGTAGGGTCTGTGTTGGGGTCTGTGTTGGGGTCTGTGTGTGCTGGATAGGCAAAAGGATGTAGTCATCTGATTCCACAGCGATGTGTTTCTGAGTGTGTGTGTGAGAGAGAGAGATCCTGTGTGTATGTAAGTTTGTGTCTCTCGTCCAGTCTGCCTGCCCCTGTCAATAATTTCATTCAGTGGGGGTAGTGGCAAACCCTGGACGAACAATAAAACCACCCATCAAAGGGGACTAGTCCAAAAAGAGGGACTCTGTCCTAAAGGCAGGGCGGGACAAATACAAGGAAAACTCCACCTAGTCTTATCAGAAGGATAGGTTGAGTTATTACCCTACTGCTAAATACCTAGCTACGTGAATTATCAGTTGAGTGTTAGGGGATAAGGGCCGGACATGTCAATCGGACTTAGGCAATTCCCTTTTCTGATTCAACTGAAGTGTTTTACTCACTCGCCTATTAATCCCTGACCTTCCACCCCTCAAGGGTCACTCCAAGGGCCCGTTCCTGGTGAGCGCCCCCCTGTCCACCATCATTAACTGGGAGAGAGAGTTTGAGTTGTGGGCCCCGGACATGTACGTGGTGACCTACGTAGGAGATAAGGACAGCAGAGCCGTCATCAGAGAGAACGAGTTCTCCTTCGAGGGCAATGCCATCCGGGGGGGCAAGAAGGCCTCTAAGATGAAGGTGAGCGACGAATGGGATGGGAGGATGGGGAAAGACTGATAATGTACAGTCATGTTTTCTGTTGTTGATTTTTTCTATCTCCCTCATTCTATCTTTATTGTTACCCCCTAATCCTCTGCCCCCTCCCTCTCTGTCTGCCCCCTGCAGAAAGACTCATCGGTGAAGTTCCATGTCCTGCTGACGTCCTATGAGCTGATCACTATAGACCAGGCTGTGCTGGGCTCCATAGACTGGGCCTGTCTGGTGGTGGATGAGGCCCACAGGCTGAAGAACAACCAGTCAAAGGTCAGACACACACCAGTACCATAACCATTATAGCCATAACCAGTACCATAACCATTATAGTCATAACCATTATAGCCATAACCAGTACCATAACCATTATAGCCATAACCAGTACCATAACCATTATAGCCATAACCAGTACCATAACCATTATAGTCATAACCATTATAGCCATAACCAGTACCATAACCATTATAGCCATAACCAGTACCATAACCATTATAGCCATAACCAGTACCATAACCATTATAGTCATAACCATTATAGCCATAACCAGTACCATAACCATTATAGTCATAACCATTATAGCCATAACCAGTACCATAACCATTATAGCCATAACCAGTACCATAACCATTATAGTCATAACCATTATAGCCATAACCAGTACCATAACCATTATAGTCATAACCAGTACCATAACCATTATAGCCATAACCAGTACCATAACCATTATAGCCATAACCAGTACCATAACCATTATAGCCATAACCAGTACCATAACCATTATAGTCATAACCAGTACCATAACCATTATAGTCATAACCAGTACCATAACCATTATAGTCATAACCAGTACCATAACCATTATAGTCATAACCAGTACCATAACCATTATAGTCATAACCAGTACCATAACCATTATAGTATGACATATCGTTGCATACTGAACACAGCGTTATTAGTATAGCTATGGTTATAACCACTCAAAGATGAGAGATCACCCCGTTTTGTGAAGAGGGCAGCTGAAGTATAAAAGTCTGTCTCTCTCTGTGTAGTTCTTTAGGATTCTGAATAACTACCCTCTCCAGCACAAGCTGCTGCTGACTGGTACACCTCTACAGAACAACCTGGAGGAACTCTTCCACCTGCTCAACTTCCTCACCCCAGTGAGGTTCAAGTCAGTATGCCTACACTACTGTGTGGTGGGGGGGGTGTGAGTGCTGCTATTGCTTAGTGTTTTGTGGTCCTGATGTTTCTTTTTGAACAAATCCAGTAACCGAAACAATAACAAAAGTCACCCCTATGAGGTACAAACTGACCCCGCTTCTCTCCCTCTGCTCTGCAGTAACCTAGAGGGGTTCCTGGAGGAGTTTGCTGACATCGCCAAAGAAGACCAGATCAAGAAGTTGCATGACATGCTGGGACCACACATGCTCAGGAGACTGAAGGCTGACGTCTTCAAACACATGCCCTCCAAGACTGAGCTCATCGTACGAGTGGAGCTTAGCCCCATGCAGAAGTGAGTGATGAGGAGGAAGAGGGGAGGGTGGAGGGGAGGATGGTGGTAGGAATCAAATCAAATTGGATTCATCACATACACAGTTTACAGCAGGTATAAAAGGTGCAGTGAAATGCTTACTTGATAGCTTCCTCAACAGTGCAGTACAATCAGTGCTAGCACATGCTAATGAGTGGAGAAGTATAGAAAATAAGGAAATAGAGGATTGAATGTCAGTAGTGTAGTGTTGCAGAAGTCTCATGTTGGCTTCTATTTCTTGTTTTCTGGTATTAATTTAATTGTGTGATGCAGGAAGTACTACAAGTTCATCTTGACGCGTAACTTTGACGCCCTGAACACCCGCGGAGGAGGAAACCAAGTGTCCCTGCTCAACGTGGTCATGGACCTCAAGAAGTGTTGCAACCACCCCTACCTCTTCCCCGGAGCTGCAATGGTACGATCCAAACCCATTATCGGAGACATGGGCCATACCATTGATTTAATGCTTGATGGAGGGCATCAATTTGTGTGTGTGTTTGTACACGAGTAAATGTTGTCTTGAATGTTTATGATTTTGTTGGTTATATTATGTGTTAAGAGGCTTTGATCAGCATGCAGTCTACTTGATGAGTTTTAATTCATTAATTGACTGATGTTTAATTGATTGATCTCCTGCAGGAGGCGCCAAAGATTCCAAACGGAATGTACGAGGGCAGTGCCCTCACAAGGGCTTCTGGGAAACTGACTCTGCTGCAAAAGATGATGGTTAAACTCAAGGAGGGAGGACATAGAGTGCTCGTTTTCTCTCAGGTACACATACACACACACACACACATACACACACACACACACACACACACACACACACTAACTGTCTCTGTCTCTTGGTAGATGACTAAGATGTTGGACCTGCTGGAGGACTTCCTGGAGAACGAGGGTTATAAGTACGAGAGGATTGATGGAGGTGTAACGGGGGGCATGAGACAGGAGGCCATCGACCGCTTCAATGGTGAGACACACACACATGGGTTCATGGATACACTAACGACAGCACAATTGGAACACTAACTTTAACTGTGAAAATATGAAATGGAAGTAACTATTTGTCTTTTGTCTCCTCCCTCCCTCTTTGTATCCCTCCCTCTTTCTCTCCCTTCCCCTCTCTCTCCCTTCCCTCTGTCTCTCTCTCCTCAGCTCCTGGCGCCCCTCAGTTTGCCTTCCTGCTCTCTACCAGAGCGGGAGGTTTGGGCATCAATCTGGCAACCGCCGACACCGTCGTCATCTACGACTCTGACTGGAACCCCCACAACGACATCCAGGTACACACACACACACACACCACACACACACACACACACACACACTTGACGCACTCCTCCTACTCACTTCTCCTCTTCCAATCTCTTCCCATCTCTCTCTCTCAGGCATTCAGCAGAGCTCACAGGATTGGTCAGAATAAGAAGGTTATGATCTATCGCTTCGTTACCAAGGCGTCTGTGGAAGAGAGGATCACTCAGGTAAACACAGTATACCAAAGCCTACCAGACTCATACATAGTGGTAGGTAAAAGACTAACTCCTCTTCTCCTCCTCCTCCTCTCCTCATCCTCCCCTCTCATCCTCCTCTCCTCCAGGTGGCTAAGAAGAAGATGATGTTGACCCACCTGGTGGTACGTCCTGGGCTGGGCAGTAAGACAGGCTCCATGTCTAAACAGGAGCTGGATGACATCCTCAAGTTTGGAACAGAGGAGCTGTTCAAGTACGAGCTGGGAGAGGGTGAGTCACTAACTACTAACCATAACCAGATCAGTCCACTCCAAACAGGTAGCCATTCCTGTTGTCAGAGGCCGTAGTATCTGCTGCTTTTCCTTCAAACTAACGACTGATTTAGACCTGGGAAACTAGGTGTGTGGCCTCCAGTCTTTCTTTCTTACACACTCTTTCATTGTACGCCTCGCTCTTTCCTTGTCCCTCGCTCTTTCCTTGTCCCTCTCTCTTTCCTTGTCCCCCTCTGTCTCAGGGGACAACAAGGAGGATGACAGCCAGGTCATCCACTATGATGACAAGGCCATAGACAGACTGCTGGACAGGAACCAGGAGTCAGAGTCAACCGAGGACACAGAGATCCAGAGCATGAACGAGTACCTCAGTTCCTTCAAAGTGGCCCAATACGTCGTCAAGGATGAGGAGGAGGAGGTGTGTGTGTGTGAGAGATACTGTGGAAGGTGATGAACAGGAGAGATGACCCATACTTCTGAGAGTGTGTGTTATTACACTTCTTATTTGTGTGTGTGTTTGTAAACCGAGTTCTTCCATCCTTGCTAACCTGTGTGTGTGTGTCCAGGAGGAGGAGGTGCAGCGTGAGGTGATTAAACAGGAGGAGTCCGTAGACCCAGACTACTGGGAGAAGCTGCTGAGACACCACTATGAGCAGCAGCAGGAGGACCTGGCCCGTAACCTGGGGAAGGGCAAGAGGACCCGCAAGCCTGTCAACTACAACGACGGCTCTCAGGAGGAACGAGGTAGTAGACGGGGTACAGAACAACGCTGCACAATGCAACCTTTTTTACCTACTCTGTGTGTGTGGATGTGGACATGTGTTTATGTGTGTGGTAGGTAAGGTGTGTGGTATAGGAGTGTGTATCTTTGGTGTTATATTGGAGCATGTGAGTGTGTTTTGTGTGTGTGTGTTAATGGTTTGTGTTCGTATTACATGTTTGTCCATGTCCCATCTCTGTCCTCTGTGTTTTTTAGGTGTTTCTAGTAGTATTCTAGGATTAAGCGTGGGCATGATGTTTCCTTCCTGCTGTCTCAGTACTCTCTCCTATCTGTCTCTAACAAGATTGGGGTCAATTCCAGTTTCAATTCAGGAAGTGAATTGAAATTAAATTTATGTTTGAAAATTGCCCACTGACAAGAATGTGACCCCAACCCTGTTAATGACTTTGGTATTGACTAGTTTAGTTTTCTTGTGAAGTTGGTTGAAGTGAATTTCTGTGATTGTATCTATTCTTCACTCTCTCTTCCTTCTCCCCTGAAAACAGAGCGGTCTGTGTCCTAAAACTCTCTGATTGGCTAATCCTGTCTCTTCCCCGCCCCTCTCTCTCCATTCTATAAGCAGATTGGCAGGAGGATCAGTCTGACAACAACTCAGATTACTCTGTGGCCTCCGAGGAGGGAGATGAGGACTTTGATGAGCGATCAGAAGGTAACAAACACTATTGTCATGAATTCATATTGATTACAGTGCATTCGGAATGTATTCAGACCCCTTCCCCTTTTCCACATTTTGTTACAGCCTTATTCTAAAATGGATTAAATAGTTTCCCCCCCCCCCTCATCAATCTACACACAATACCCCATAATGAGAAAGCAAAAACTGGTTTTTAGAAATGTTAGCAAATTTATTAAAAATAAACATCTGAAATGTTATATTTACATAAGTATTCAGACTCAGTACTCAGTACTTTGTTGAAGCACCTTTGGCAGCGATTACAGCCTTGAGTCTTCTTGGGTATGACGCTACAAGCTTGGCAAACCTGTATTTGGGGAGTTTCTCCCATTCTTCTCTGCAGATCCTCTCAAGCTCTGTCACGTTGGATGGGGAGCATCGCTGCACAGCTATTTTCAGGTCTCTCTAGAGATGTTCGATCGGGTTAAAGTCCGGGCTCTGGCTGGGCCACTCAAAGACATTCAGAGACTTGTCCCGAAGCCACTCCTGCGTTGTCTTGGCTGTGTGCTTAGGGTCGTTGTCCTGTTGGAAGGTGAACCTTTTCCCCAGTCTGTAGTCCTGAACGCTCTGGAGCAGGTTTTCATCAAGGATCTCTCTGTACTTTGCTCCGTTCATCTTTCCCTCGATCCTGACTAGTCCCCCAGTCCCTGCCGCTGAAAAACATCCCCACAGCATGATGTTGCCACCACCATGCATCACCGTAGGGATGGTATTGGCCAGGTGATGAGCGGTGCCTGGTTTCCTCCAGACGTGATGCTTGGCATTCAGGCCAAAGAGTTCAATCTTGGTTTCATCAGATCAGAGAATCTTGTTTCTCATGGTCTGAGAGTCCTTTAGGTGCCTTTTGGCAAACTCCAAGCGGGCTGTCATGTGCCTTTTACTGAGGAGTGGCTTCCGTCTGGCCACTCTATCATAAAGGCTTGATTGGTGGAGTGCTGCAGTGATGGTTGTGTTTCTGGAAGGCTCTCCTATCTCCACAGAGGAACTCTGGAGCTCTGTCAGAGAGACCATCGGGTTCTTGGTCACCTCCCTGACCAAGGCCCTCCTCCCCCGATTGCTCAGTTTGGCCAGGCGGCCAGCACTAGGAAGAGTCTTGGTGGTTCAAAACTTCTTCCATTTAAGAATGATGGAGGCCACTGTGTTCTTGGGGACCTTCAATGCTGCAGAAATATTTAGTTACCCTTCCCCAGATCTGTGCCTCGACACAATCCTTTCTCGGAGCTCTACGGACAATTCCTTCGACCTCATGTCTTGGTTTTTGCTTTGACATGCACTCAGGAACACAGACTGGGGCAAAGGTTCACCTTCCAACAGGACAACGACCCTAAGCACACAGCCAAGACAACGCAGGAGTGGCTTCGGGACAAGTCTCTGAATGTCCTTGAGTGGCCCAGCCAGAGTCCGGACTTGAACCTGATCGAGCATCTCTGGAGAGACCTGAAAATAGCTGTGCAGCAACGCTCCCCATCCATGGGAGAAATGCTCCAAATACAGGTGTGCCAAGCTTGTAGCGTCAAGAAAACTCGAGGCTGTAATCACTGCCAAAGGTGCTTCAACAAAGTACTGAGTAAAGGGTCTGAATACTTACATAAATGTGATATTTCCGTTTTTTATATTTAATAAATTAGCAACATTTTCTAAAAACCTGTTTTTGCTTTGTCATTATGGGGTATTGTGTGTAGATTGATGAGGGGGAAAAAACTATTTCATAAAATTTAGAACAAAGCTGAAAATGTAACACAATTTGGAAAAAGTGAAGGGTCTGAATACTTTCTGAATGGCTGTATGTGTCCGTGTCCGTGCGAATAAATGAATCTGTGTGTGTGCCAGTTCGGATTAGTCCTTGCTTGTGTGTTTTCGTGCAAATGACAGAAAGTGAAAGAGTGTGTGCATTTGTGTGTGAGAATGAGCGCGAGAGAGAGCGACTCATTCTGTCAAGCAGTTGTAACAGGCCAATTCAGTTATAATAAAAGTACGAGACTATTCCACACAACAAGTCTAAGTAAGCAGAAGCACAAACCCAATCCTTTATGGCCGAAGGCTTTTAGAAAGGGCGGTAAACCCCAACTACTGATACAGGGTTAGATATTTGTTAATCCCCCTAATGGTTAATTTAGGATTGGAGGATAGAATAATCCGAATATAGATCTGTGGTTAAGGTACGTTTCTATCTGGAGTGTTACGAAGCTATGTCCCATGCTAACGTATTTCAAACTGCACCTACATATTATACAGAAACAGACTAACTCCTGCATCGACTAGTAGGAGAGGGCAGCTAAATGTACACAATGTATCAATTCTGTACAGTGAATCATCCACGAACTCCCGAGTGGCGCAGTGGTCTAAGGCACTGCATCGCAGTGCTAGCTGTGCCACTAGAGATCCTGGTTCGAATCCAGGCTCTGTCGTAGCCGGCCGTGACCGGGAGACCCATGGGGCGGCGCACAATTGGCCCAGCGTCGTCCAGGGTAGGGGAGGGAATGGCCGGCAGGGATGTAGCTCAGTTGGTAGAGCATGGCGTTTGCAACGCCAGGGTTGTGGGTTCGATTCCCATGGGGGTATGAAAAAAAAAAAAATGATGTATGCACTCACTAACTGTAAGTCGCTCTGGATAAGAGCGTCTGCTAAATGACTAAAATGTAAATGTAAATGTTCTTTTTGAGGATCTGTTAAAATTCTTCACTTTTTGTAGTTATTTTGAAGTTTATAGTGTAGCGCTCATACATATAATTAGATGAAACTGTTGAATGCACGTATGATTACATCCATTCATTGAGTTTATGGATATCCAATAATTGTTAAGTTAATATGTGATTGTGGTCAACATGACATTTGGTTAAACTACAAGTGTTTTGAAATGGAAGGATTGCAGGTAAAAATTCTGGTGTAGAATACCTTTTTATTTACATTGTTGGAACAACATTTCCATTGATGAAATTCACACACAAATCCAGGACATTTATGTGTGTATGTATTCTGTAAGAAAGACAATATATATTCGATATAAAGAAGCGATTTGGTTGCAAAACAATAATTAATACGATGTTAGTCAGAAATGTGGTCTGGGTTTGAACCATTAATTGAACGGCAGATGAGTTACCGATTGCGCCACCATAGTAAATAAAATAAAATAAGTGATCTCAGATTTCTGCCTGAATCAGCGACTCTTAATCCTGTCATAATCGTACATATTTCCATGCTAAACAGTAAACGCGTTGACAGAAATTTAATCTGATGTCTCAGTTGACGTTCGCGGCACAGAACATTCAGAACGGATTTTATTACAGCGCGACAGATACAGTAGTTACTGGCGGTTACATTTTTCTTTCTTGAGGTGTTCCTTTCGATCATCTGCCCGTTTCGATAGCTACGGTCAGTGAGTGAGTGCTCTTTCAAGACCGGACATAGCGAGGAGTTGCAGCATCGTCTGTGAATATGCTAGCTACTAATTCAATTCAAAGGGCTTTATTGGCATGGGAACCATGTTTACATTGCCAAAGCAAGTTAAATAGATAATAAACAAACGTGAAATAAACAATACAAAATGAACAGTAAACATTACACTCACAAAAGTTCCAAAGGAATAGAGACATTTCAAATGTTATATTATGGCTATATACTGTGTTGTAACGATGTGCAAATAGTTAAAGTTAGCTATCAGCTAACCTTCGCTAATATCGGGGATGTATTCACTAGGAACAAAACGGAGAGGGACCTTCCTGAATTTTTTCAATAGAAACTCTTGTTTAGGCTACGTAGCAAACCGTTTTCCGTTCGCAACTGTTTGAGACGGTTTGCTAAGGTGTGAACTAATGATACACACCTTTGCCACCTTGCTCTGAATTTTTTCAGCAAGTTCACTGATGATGTAGCAACAATGTATCAATGTATGTCTTTCTGACAATACAGGGTTTGAATCCCTTATCATGTCACATTTTATGGTACACTATTTCAAATAGGTCTGTCTGCAACTTTTATCTGTAATTGGTTGTATAAATTGCAAAGGCTTTGCTAAAACAACATCCGGTAGAGGAGTAAAATAGCACACAATTCCATGCTGTTTTGAGGGATCATTCAATCAAAATCTCATATAGTGACGTAGCGGGTTTACCCCAACTCTATTGCAGGACAAATTGTGTGTGTGTGTCAGTACACATTTATATGTGTGTATTTTCTGTGTGAGACTACCATGACCTGTGTTTCTCCCTCCAACCAGCCAACTCCCGCAGGCCAAGCCGCAAGGGGTTGAGGAACGAAAGGGACAAACCACTGCCCCCCCTGTTGGCCAGAGTGGGAGGCAACATCGAGGTCAGACTGCAGCTTCTATCAGTCTCCCTCCCTCCATCTGTCACTCTTAAAATAAAAATCGACACATTGTTCTCTTCATATCTCCCTCTACAAGCAGTATTTTCTTTCTCCATGTCCATTTCTGCCTGCACATTTTCCCTCTCTCTCTTTACCACTTGTCTTTTGACTCTTTCAGTGTGTATGTTGCTCTAAACCCCCCCCCCCCCCCTCTCTCTCAGGTGTTGGGCTTCAATGCGCGCCAGAGGAAGGCCTTCCTGAATGCAGTGATGCGCTATGGGATGCCTCCCCAGGATGCCTTCACTACCCAGTGGCTGGTCAGAGACCTCAGGGGGAAGTCTGAGAAAGAGTTCAAGTGAGTCTGTGTGTGTGTGCAGTCTAAGTATGTGTGTGTGTTCCCAGGGGTCCGTATAACAGTATTCTCTCACTCCCTTCATCTTTCCCTCTCAGGGCGTATGTCTCTCTCTTCATGCGTCATCTCTGTGAGCCGGGGGCTGACGGAGCGGAGACTTTCGCTGATGGGGTTCCACGGGAGGGGTTGTCACGGCAACATGTCCTTACTCGCATCGGTGTGATGTCATTGATCAGGAAGAAAGTAAGCAATGTCGTTTCTTTGTTTGTTTACAGCATTTGGTATTGTTTTGTTTTAATTTATGTATGTATTGATTGTATTGATGTCCAGGTGCAGGAGTTTGAGCATGTGAACGGCCAGTGGTCCATGCCCTGGATGATGGAGCTGGAGGAGAACAAGAGGCTGGCAGCCATCGCTGCTGGAGAGGACGTCAAAACACCTTCTACTGGAACCCCCGCTGACACACAGCCCAACACCCCCGCCCCAGGTACACACACACACACACACACCTTCTACTGGAACCCCCGCTGACACACAGCCCAACACCCCCGCCCCAGGTACACACATACACACACCTTCTACTGGAACCCCCGCTGACACACAGCCCAACACCCCCGCCCCAGGTACACACATACACACACCTTCTACTGGAACCCCCGCTGACACACAGCCCAACACCCCCGCCCCAGGTACACACACACACACACACACCTTCTACTGGAACCCCCGCTGACACACAGCCCAACACCCCCGCCCCAGGTACACACACACACACACACACCTTCTACTGGAACCCCCGCTGACACACAGCCCAACACCCCCGCCCCAGGTACACACACACACACACCTTCTACTGGAACCCCCGCTGACACACAGCCCAACACCCCCCGCCCCAGGTACACACATACACACACCTTCTACTGGAACCCCCGCTGACACACAGCCCAACACCCCCGCCCCAGGTACACACACACACACACACACCTTCTACTGGAACCCCCGCTGACACACAGCCCAACACCCCCGCCCCAGGTACACACATACACATACACACACACACACACACCAGCCCAACACACAGTAAAATGAAAATATGCTCAATCATTCTCTCACTCACTCTCTTTTTCTCTGCCTTTCTCTCTGTCGCTAACAGAGGACCTCACTAAGTCTGAAGACACTGGCAAGGAGACGGAGGTAAAGAAGGAGGGAGAGGCAGAAAAGGACGGCAGGGCGCACAGCAAGACAGAAGACCCAGAGGTGAGCAGTCTTTATTAGATTATACTGCACCATCATCAGTGTCATCACAACCCTAATCCTAACCCCTTTTTCCTCCTCGCAGATTATTGAAATCCCAGACGAGACAGAAAAACTCTCGGAAAGGAAAGAGGCGGAGGGAGAGTCCTCCACGACAAAGAACGAGAAAGAAAAGGACAAAGACACAGAAGAGGAGAAGGAGAAAGAGACTGAAGAAAAGGAAACCAAGGAAACCCCAAAAGAGACAGCAGAGGAGGAGAAGGAGAAGGATTCCCCTACAGAGGTCACGGGTGAAGGGTCAGAGGCCACAGCAGTGTCAGAGGAGGCCAAACCTAAAGGTCAGTCGGGACAGTCAGGGTGATACAGATACTGTATGAAGGTCATGTCTCCTGTGGTTGTGACCTCTGACCTGTGTTCAATCTGTTATAGTGGAGGAGAGCAAAGAGGAGATGGACACCAGTCCTCCTGCAGAGAACAAGAAAGGTAGGGTCTTCCGTTCCATACACACATGTACGCGCACACACACAAACAAACATATGGTGCTTACCCAGTATTCTTCCTCCCTTCAGAGCAAAAAGAGGAGAAAGATGGTGTGAAGACGGAGGAGTCTGGCAAGCTGCAGAATGGAGAGAACGCTAAAGAATCAGTGGCAGCAGCAGCGGTGGCGGTGAATGTGAGTGAGGAGAAGAAGAAGGCTACCAAGCAGAGGTTCATGTTCAACATTGCAGACGGAGGATTCACAGGTGCACACGCATATCTAGGATCAGCTAACCCTCCCTAACTTTAACCATTGGGGGGCAGGGAGATGCAAAACTGACCTTTGTTCATTTTCAATCTCTCTCTCTCTCTCTCTCTCTCTCTCCCCCCCCCCCCAGAGCTCCACTCTCTGTGGCAGAACGAGGAGAGGGCAGCGACCGTCACCAAAAAGACATTTGAGATCTGGCACCGTCGCCATGACTACTGGCTGCTGGCTGGCATCATACAGTATCCTTTCACTCTGTACCAACATCACTCTGCTAATCAAAGTGTCGAGGAGAATGGTATTAATTGGATCAGGTATGTTAGTGCTGGGCTGGAACTAAAACCTATAGACTCCTGTATCTCTCCAGGACCAGGGCTGGAGACCACTGCACTACTCAGCAGGTCAGAGGTTTGGTGGGAGGACTGAATCATTGTGATGTATTGACCTTTGACCGTGGCGCCTCTCAGACACGGTTACGCTCGCTGGCAGGATGTGCAGAGCGACGTGAAGTATGCTATCCTCAACGAGCCCTTCAAGGGGGAGATGAGCCGAGGGAACTTCCTGGAGATCAAGAACAAGTTCCTGGCTAGGAGGTTTAAGGTGCGCTGGGATGGCTTGATGTTTATGGCTGCTTCTGTCTATTGATCCACTCTCTGTCTTCTTTAATCTCTCTCTCTCTCTCTCTCTCTCTCTCTCTCTCTCTCTCTCTCTCTTCTCTCTCTTCTCTATCTCTCTCTCTCTCTCTCTCTCTCTCTCTCTGAGTGTCTGTTCAGCCATCCCTCTCTCCTACTCTCTCTTCCTTTCTGTTAATCGCTCTGTCTACCTCTTCCCTCTCCTTCTCTCCTCCTGTCATATCCCTTACTTCTCTCTCTCTCTCCCTCGCTCTCTCTCTCGCTCTCTCCTCCTGTCATATCCCTTACTTCTCTCTCTCTCGCTCTCGCTCTCTCCTCCTGTCATATCCTTACTCTCTCTCTCTCTCTCTCCCTCTCTCTCTCTCGCTCTCTTTCTGTCTCTCTGTCTCTCGCGCTCTCCTCCTGTCATATCCCTTACTTCTCTCTCTGTCTCTCGCTCTCTCTCTGTCTCTCTCTCTCCTCCTCTTACCCCTCTCTATCTCTCTCTCCGTCTCTAGTTGTTGGAGCAGGCGTTGGTGATTGATCGCACCAGCTACCTGAACATGGTCACATTTGAGGACCCCAGGCCCACCCCTCCATGGCCCTCAACACCCGCTTCAGTGAGGTGGAGTGTCTGGCCGAGTCCCACCAACACCTCAGCAAGGAGTCCATGTCAGGGAACAAGCCTGCCAACGCAGTACTGCACAAAGGTAGGCTACACACAGACTCACTCTCTTTCTTTCTCATTTTCACTTTTCTGTCTCTGCTTTTCTGACCCATTTCATAATCTTTCTCTTTTTCTTATTTCTCTCCCTCTCTCCATCCCTTTGGTTATTTGACTGTGGTGGTGGTGGTAACTCTTCCTCTCTCCTTCAGTTCTCAAACAGCTTGAGGAGCTTCTCAGCGACATGAAGGCTGACGTCACCCGTCTCCCGGCAACCATCGCCCGGATACCACCCGTCGCCGTGAGGCTACAGATGTCGGAGAGGAACATCCTCAGCCGATTGGCCAGCCGGGGGTCAGAGGTCACTGGCCAGAGCCAATCACAGACCACACAGCAGCAGATGCAGGTGCCACGCTGACCAATTCCGCCAGTCCTCCCCTAGGCGTCCTCCCTCCCGTGTTTTGGAATCAGAGAGTGACCCTCATCTCACCTCCACTCTGCACCTCTCCTGTTCCCAAACCAAAACTCACACTCTGGACAGTAGAGTAAGGTCTGTACCCCCCCAACACCTCTTCTCTGGACACACAGCAGACTACAACTGCTTCCTCTTCACCCAAAGACACCTGGAGGAACACAGTCTCTATTCTCCACTGGGAACACACACCTTCTCTACAGTATCTACCTAATGAACTGAAGCACTGTCTCTGTGTCTGTCTGTTGTGTCTAACCTTCACACAGAGGTTGTTTTCACTGTATCTTTCCCCAACCCTGTCTCTAAAATAGACAGCTGTGTACCTGGCTCTGTCCCATAGAATTAGAATGGGTAGACTGAACATTTCCACTCCAAGTAAAGATTCTATAATATGTGGACTCGTGGTTCTATGGGTATGCAGAATTCAATTCGATATCAACATGTACAATTCAATTGTGCATCAGTGGGTAAATGTGAAATCATGTGGAATTTAGAACTATGTCTGTTCTGCCCATTCCATTTCTGAGTGTGTACCTCTTCTGAGTGTGTGTGTGTGTGTGTGTGTGTGTGTGTGTGTAGCTGGGCACACTGCTCCTGACACAGCTCTATACTTTCCCACAGAGAGACTGTTAATAACTATCAACTGATGAGGATGCTTTAGTAGAATAATATTGGTTCTGTGTTACTGCGCCTTCCCCCTCTTCACTGCTCCCCTCACCTGTACACTCAGGTGGTCCATAACACTAGCCTGTTATTGGCTCTCCCCTCTCCTCAGCCACGCCCCATCCTGCAGCTCTACATTCCTGATTGGCTTCTTGAACAATTGCATCACACATGTTCCCGAAGGCCTCGCCCCGTTTTTGCCCAAATAAGGACATGCAATAGCTCCACAAGTTTAGACACATGGGACGGCATTGAGAATGATGGCAATCTCTAAATTAATTAAATGTCTTAGTCTAACGTTTTCTTTTACATTCTGGAATATTATTATGGTTACCACCTTGTTGTTTTTATCGTTACAGTTTCTTTTGAGAACTACAATAAAAAGGGTAACAGTTTGTGAAGCTTGTTTCCTTGTCCTTTATTATGTGAGGGAATTATTACCTGGTCACATTACATTGTAATGACCAATGGTACGTGTCATAATTTGACCTACAAGGTCTGTGGATTTGCAGGAGAGGGAAGGAGAACAAAAGAGTCGGGTGGACAGTAAGACGGAGAGAGAGAGTGAGAGAAGAAGAGGGAGACAGGAACAGACTTGTTTTCCCAGACAGACAGAGGTGCAATTAAGAAAATTGGGGGAAATTACAGGGCGGGAGAAAAGACTGCGATGTGATAGTGCCTGCTGATAACTTATCAGGATAGAGAGAGAGATGGAGGAATAGAGAGAGAGAGGGAGGGAGAGAGAGAGGGAAAGAGGGAGAGGGCAATCAGAGGAATTGTAGAGAGCAAGAAGGAAATGCAGAGAGAGGGAACAACAGGGCGAGACGGGGAGGAAATGAGTGAGAAAGAAGAGGTAGAGAGGGGGACAGAAGACTAGCTCATCTCCACTCTGTTGTAGAGACTGGATCTATTCCCCTGGTTCAGTAGGGTGAGACTGGACTGCTGTCTAGAACACCTGAGCAAACGTCCATTCAATGTCTTGTGGGTAAGTACTATCTATAGACACAGTTAGCATGTGAAGCTCACAGGTGTGAAAGGGGAAGAGAGCCCAACTCAAACTGCTGCAGGTGTTTTGTTTCAATAACCTGTATGTTTGTGTGTCTGCAATTCCTGGTGTTAACCACTGTTCTAACACCTGCAGTACAAACGTCTGTTAGTCTGCATGTGTGTGCGCGTGCGTTCTCGCTCGCATGCTTGTGTATGTATACTCTAGCCTTCTGTAATGTATGTATTTTAAGATATTACAAATAATATGTGGGAGTACTAATCATTATGTTCTCATTGGCTGATCATTCTGAGTGTACACCTTCCTATTATTGAGTTGCACCCGCTTTTGTCCTCAGAAAAGCCTCAATTAGACTCCTGCACTCTACAAGGTGTCAAAAGCATTCCACAGGGATGCTGGCCCATGTTGACTTCAATGCTTCCCACAGTTGTATCAAGTTGGATGGATTTTCTTTTGGGTGGTGGACCATTTTTGATACACACAGGAAACTGTTGAATGTGAAAAACCCAGCAGCGTTGCAGTTCTTGACACAAACCGGTGCGCCTGACACCTACGACCATACTGCGTTCAAAGGCACTTCAATCTTTTGTCTTGCCATTCACCCTCTGAATGGCACACTTGCTCAATCCATGTCTCCAGGCTTAAAACCCCTTCTTTATCCTGTCTCCTCCCCTTCATCTACACTGATTGAAGTGGATTTAACAGGTAACATCAATAAGGGATCATAGCTTTCACCTGGATTCACCTGGTCAGTCTATGTCACAGAATCTTTTGTATACTCAGTGTATTTACATATATTTAAATCTCACTGTTAAAGGTCCATGCAAGAGAAACATGATTTGCAAGTCAAAGTGATAGCCCTGGAAGAGTTTTGTTTTGACAATAGTTACTGTCAGACATGGCTCTCACCTTGGGGTCTTTTTCTTTGTTCTTTTTTCATTTGACCATTTCCACACATACTGTACATAAAACAGAATGATTGTTATTTATTTCAAACCCATCCCTCACCAGTGGAGGCTGCTGAGGGGAGGACGGCTCATAATAATGGCTGGAACGGAGTAAATGCAATGGCAACAAACACATGGAAACCATGTGTGTTTTACATTTACATTTACATTTACGTCATTTAGCAGACGCTCTTATCCAGAGCGACTTACAAATAGGTGCATTCACCTTATAGCCAGTGGGATAACCACTTTACAATGTTTTTTTTTGGAGGGGGGGGGGGGGGGGGGGGGGTAGAAGGATTACTTTATCCTATCCCAGGTATTCGTTAAAGAGGTGGGGTTTCAAATGTCTCCGGAAGGTGGTGAGTGACACCGCTGTCCTGGCGTCGTGAGGGAGCTTGTTCCACCATTGGGGTGCCAGAGCAGCGAACAGTTTTGACTGGGCTGAGCGGGAACTATGCTTCCGCAGAGGTAGGGGAGCCAGCAGGCCAGAGGTGGATGAACGCAGTGCCCTCGTTTGGGTGTAGGGACTGATCAGAGCCTGAAGGTACGGAGGTGCCGTTCCCCTCACTGCTCCGTAGGCAAGCACCATGGACTTGTAGCGGATGCGAGCTTCAACTGGAAGCCAGTGGAGTGTGCGGAGGAGCGGGGTGACGTGAGAGAACTTGGGAAGGTTGAACACCAGACGGGCTGTGGCATTCTGGATGAGTTGTAGGGGTTTAATGGCACAGGCAGGGAGCCCAGCCAACAGCGAGTTGCAGTAATCCAGACGGGAGATGACAAGTGCCTGGATTAGGACCTGTGCCGCTTCCTGTGTAAGGCAGGGTCGTACTCTCCGAATGTTGTAGAGCATGAACCTACAGGATATTTTTATTTGATTTTAGATTTTTAATCCCAGCCCCCGTCCCCGCAGGAGGCCTTTTGCCTTTTGGTAGGCCATCATTGTAAATAAGAATTTGTTCTTAACTGACTTGCCTAGTTAAATAAAGGTTAAATAAAAAAAGGGGGTTTGATGTATTTGATACCATTTCACCCATTCTGCTCCAGCCATTACCACAAGCCCGTCCTCCCCAATTAAGGTGACCCAACCTCCTGTGTCCCACCCTTCCCTTCAGAGGACAAAAGCAGTCTTGTTTTAGACACATATCTTGTTTTTTAACATATCTTTTTCTACATACATGCCAATTTTCCACACAGTATTACATGACAAAAAGGTGAATCCAGGTGAAAGCTATGATCCCTTATTGATGTCCACTTCAAATCAGTGTAGATGAAGGGAAGGAGACAGGTTAAATAATATTAGTTAAGCCTTGAGACAATTGAGACATGGATTGTGTATGTGTGCCATTCAGGGGGTGAATGGGCAAGAAAAAAGATTGATGTGCCTTTGAACGGGAGATGGTAGTAGGTGCCAAGCGCACCGGTTTGAGTGTGTCAAGAACTGCAACGCTGCTGGGTTTTTCACGCTCAACAGTTTCCCGTGTGCATCAAGAATGGTCCACCTCCCAAAGGACATCCAGCCAACTTGACACAACTGTGGAAAGCATTGGAGTCAACATGAGCCAGCATCCCTGTGGAACGCTTTTGACACCTTGTAGAGTCCATGCCCCGACGAATTTGAAGCTGTTCTGAGGGCAAAAGGGGGTGCAACTCAATATTAGGAAGGTGTATGTGTTATCCTGTAGGGCTGGGAATTGCCAGGGGCCTCACGATACGATATTATCATGATACTTAGGTGCCAATACGATATGTATTGCGATTCTCACCAGTCCCTCATCACTACTAGTCAGTGTGAGAGTGTGTGTCCTTTCATTGAAGGCAGGTCATCATCACTTGGACTTTAGGTGAGAGAAATACACGTGTATGTGTGTTAGTCAGTGTGTGTGAGTGTGTGTACATATGCTGAAGGAGTGACTGGATGAAGGTATGTCATCACTTGGTATGTGTGTATTAGTCAGTGTGTGTGAAACTGTGTGGCAAGTGGTCATTACTTTTGGGTGTTAGAAATGATATACAACAGCAACATGACTCAACAGGGAAAATACATTATCACCACCAGCTCTCAGCTCTGTACATGTATCACCAGAGCCTGAAAAGCAGAGAGAAAGATGGAGAATTTCACGGCTGTCTTCCCGTGTAACAAACTTCACAGGTTCATCAGCCTCCCCCTCTAGTGTTCAGATTGTAGATTTTACAGTGTGAAAAACACAATGAGGTTCTGATGTTCCTCTCTCAGCTCCTAATTAGAAAAGTGGGTCTGTCTCTGTCTCTCACTTCCTTCCGGTCTTCTCACCTTGGTGGGGCTCTGTCTAAAAAACAAATGTATTTAACATTTATGTGGTAATATTTGACATATATGCATATTATATATAACTCACACCAAACACAAAAAGGCATTCAGACATGCAGGATACACGGTGCTCTCGGCCCCAGCCACTACAGATCAGGAGCTTTAATTCCCACCCCTCGGCTACTCTCTGCTGCTTTGCATGTTAGTCATATTGTAATTTGTAACACTAACTTGAACAGGCAGTCGTGTTCAAGCTGTAAAGTTATACAGCCCTGCTTTGTTGCTATGCTGCTTCCGTAGCCACACGAGCTGGCTGTTGCATTGTGGGAAGAGTAGTTTCAGTTTCAAGCTCTAACAGACTTCTGTGGACAAGACTTTAGTATAGATGTAGCCAACCTCTTTTTGTAACATGGTCACGTGTTGTATTGCTTGTCACATTAACAGTGTTGTGTAGTTGCTATCCTGACTGTAGTTATGTGTGTGTGCTGCTAGTTGTTACTGAAAATAAGGAAGTGTAATGCGAACATGACCTTTGTGCATCAAACACAAATGGTTAGACACACACACGCGCGCACACACATACACACACACACAGCGGGAAGAAGAGAACAGACACACACAGACAGAAGAGGGGAGGAGTGGAGGACAGGTGGGTTAGAAGGAAAGAGAGAGAATGAGAAGAACAGAGAAATCTATGAATAGTTTAACCAGTATATGCTTGAGGGGCTAGTGTGTTTTTCATTCCTGTTAGTGGTGGTGTGCAGACCCTTAGTTTACCTTTTAAAGGTGCTCTCTCTCTCTCTCTAGTTCATTATCTAATTGAGGAACAGTGTATGGTATGACATATTCAGAGTAAACACTAGTGTTGCTATGATCATTCTGGGGGGATAGAGATGTGACATTAGATTGAGGCAAGGAGAGTTATAGTACAATTTTAAAAGATGAATACTAAGTATTTTTATTGCGTTAACATTTATAAAGTATCTCTATCTGTAAGAGATTCCGGCCTGTCAGCAATTATTGTTCCTGTCTGTCTCTTGCTTTCACTGTTTTATGAAAAGAGCCACAAAAAGGAAGGAAGGAGCGCGAGTGTCTCAGAACGACAGAGAGAGAAAACGAGAAAAGAGGGGAGGGACATATATGAACCTGTCAGCAAGAGTGTTGCTTGTTTTCAGAAGGAGCTGAGAACAGTAAGATGTGTTTACTTTTCTACCTAACGTGAGATATATAGAGAAGGAGAAAGAGAGGAAAGGTTTGATGAACAGATGAGTGTGGGAGTAAAAGAGGAAGGGAAGACAGGTTGATCGGAGGGGTGGTCTTTGCGTATGTGATGTTGAATGAGAGAAATAAAGGGAGAAATACAGCAAACTAATGTGTGGAGGAAGGCAGTTAGAGAGAGAGAAAGGGATGATAATGGAAGTAAAACAAGATTGTTTAGGAGTACATTTGCATTTACTTAATAACTGGCAAGATGTTGCAAATTTAGAAAGGGCATGAAGATGTCTCAGTTACAATGTACAGTATTTGTTACATGACCATGCATTACAATTTGCTAGCCTTGAGGTTGTACCTGTAAGTGTACCCTCATTATCCTGTCTCCTTCTCTTTGGGCCCAGAAGAAGTGAAGGTGAAAATGGTTCGGTGAGTTGAACTCCCCCCTCTCAAGACTCTTACACTCAGTTGCTCAACCCTGGTCTTGATCTGCCTTTGCCTAACGCGTGATGTCAACTTCTCTCTTTCTTTTCCTTGTTCTCTCCGTTCCTTTACCATCAGTACTTTGTCCTTTAGTCTTTTCTGCTGTCTTGTGTGTTCATGCGTAACGTTTTGTTTTTAAACTCTAAGAATTCCCAGCTATTTTGCAGTAGTTTTTCAAATTCTTGAAATGTTGCCCAATTCTGACTGATTCTACATTTGCATCCTACTGTTAGTCTATCAATAACTTGACCATGTCTTGTGTAGCTAGCTACATCTACACTGAAACCTGGCAACAGATATCAATGTGATGGTCCACTTGCGAGTGAGAGGTTGTCGAAAGAAAGATAATAGATTGTACATTTACAATCATCAATCATTCCCTTTAATTTAGAAAGCATTATCAGTCCTACCTCTCAGACGTGTGATACTATACAGTGAGGGATAAAAGTATTTGATCCCCTGCTGATTTTGTACGTTTGTCCACTGACAAAGAATTGATCAGTCTATCATTTTAATGGTAGGTTTATTTGAACAGTGAGAGACAGAATAACAACAACAAAATCCAGAAAAACGCATGTCAAAAATGTTATAAATTGATTTGCATTTTAATGAGGGAAATAAGTATTTGACCCCCTCTCAATCAGAAAGATTTCTGGCTCCCAGGTGTCTTTTATACAGGTAACGAGCTGAGATTAGAAGCACACTCTTAAAGGGAGTGCTCCTAATCTCAGCTTGTTACCTGTATAAAAGACACCTGTCCACAGAAGCAATCAATCAATCAGATTCCAAACTCTCCACCATGGCCAAGACCAAAGATCTCTCCAAGGATGTCAGGGACAAGATTGTAGACCTACACAAGGCTGGAATGGGCTACAAGACCATCGCCAAGCAGCTTGGTGAGAAGGTGACAACAGTTGGTGCGATTATTCGCAAATGGAAGAAACACAAAATAACTGTCAATCTCCCTCGGCCTGGGGCTCCATGCAAGATCTCACCTCGTGGAGTTGCAATGATCATGAGAACGGTGAGGAATCAGCCCAGAACTACACGGGAGGATCTTGTCAATGATCTCAAGGCAGCTGGGACCATAGTCACCAAGAAAACAATTGGTAACACACTACGCCGTGAAGGACTGAAATCCTGCAGCGCCCGCAAGGTCCCCCTGCTCAAGAAAGCACATATACAGGCCCGTCTGAAGTTTGCCAATGAACATCTGAATGATTCAGAGGAGAACTGGGTGAAAGTGTTGTGGTCAGATGAGACCAAAATGGAGCTCTTTGGCATCAACTCAACTCGCTGTGTTTGGAGGAGGAGGAATGCTGCCTATGACCCCAAGAACACCATCCCCACCGTCAAACATGGAGGTGGAAAGATTATGCTTTGGGGGTGTTTTTCTGCTAAGGGGACAGGACAACTTCACCGCATGAAAGGGACGATGGACAGGGCCATGTACCGTCAAATCTTGGGTGAGAACCTCCTTCCCTCAGCCAGGGCATTGAAAATGGGTCGTGGCTGGGTATTCCCACATGACAATGACCCAAAACACACGGCCAAGGCAACAAAGGAGTGGCTCAAGAAGAAGCACATTAAGGTCCTGGAGTGGCCTAGCCAGTCTCCAGACCTTAATCCCATAGAAAATCTGTGGAGGGAGCTGAAGGTTCGAGTTGCCAAACGTCAGCCTCGAAACCTTAATGACTTGGAGAAGATCTGCAAAAAGGAGTGGGACAAAATCCCTCCTGAGATGTGTGCAAACCTGGTGGCCAACTACAAGAAACGTCTGACCTCTGTGATTGCCAACAAGGGTTTTGCCACCAAGTACTAAGTCATGTTTTGCAGAGGGGTCAAATACTTATTTCCCTAATTAAAATGGAAATCAATTTATAACATTTTTGACATGTGTTTTTCTGGATTTTTTTGTTGTTATTCTGTCTCTCATTGTTCAAATAAACCTACCATTAAAATTATAGACTGATCCTTTCTTTGTCAGTGGGCAAACGTACAAAATCAGCATGGGACCAAATACTTTTTTCCCTCACTGTACTTAGTAACAGGTCGTTCTGTAGAATAAGCTAGTATAGTAGCCACTGAATGAAAAGCTGGTGCGTTGTGGTGAGGTGTGTTCTGTGGGTTTGTAAGTAGGTGGTCTGTCTGTCATCTCTTAGGCCTTATGCAGGCTTTACCATTCAAATGTTATGCTAGTTCTTTGCCTTGAAACAATATTGTATACTTGTGAACTTCAAAAAGGTTGCAATAATGCTGTGAAGACTACTCTCTACCTAGTACTATGTTAATCTATGACCTGATAATGGTATGCAGGGTTTTGAAATGGGATTAAACAGACACACTGTGATTTAACTAATCTTTATTACCACGTCTCATATAATTTCCCACTGAGGGAAGAAACTGAGTATCAAAGAGATGATGTGGCTCAGTGGACAGGTGTGTGTGTGGTTTGTATATACTGTACAGTCATGGTCAAACATTTTGAGAATGACACAAGTATTGGTCTTCACAAAGTTCGCTGCTTCAGTGTTATGAGATATTTTTGTCAGATGTTACTATGGTATACTGAATTATAATTACAAGCATTCCATAAGTGTCAAAGGCTTTTATTGACAATTACATTAAGTTTATGCAAAGAGTCAATATTTGCAGTGTTGACCCTTCTTTTTCAAGACCTCTGCAATCCGCCCTGGCATGCTGTCAATTAACTTATGGGCCACATCCTGACTGATGGCAGCCCATTCTTGCATAATCAATGCTTGGAGTTTCTCAGAATTTGTGGGATTTTGTTTGTCCACTCGCCTCTTGAGGATCGACCACAAGTTTTCAATAGGATTATGGTCTGGGGAGTTTCCTGGCCATGGACCCAAAATGTCAATGTTTTGTTCCACAAGCCACTTAGTTATCACTTTTGCCTTATGGCAAGGTGCTCCATCATGCTGGAAAAGGCATTGGTCGTCACCAAACTGTTCTTGGATGGTTGGGAGAAGTTGCTCTCGAAGGATGTGTTGGTACCATTCTTTATTCATGGCTGTGTTCTTAGGCAAAATTGTGAGTGAGCCCACTCCCTTGGCTGAGAAGCAACCCCACACATGAATGGTCTCAGGATGCTTTACTGTTGGCATGACACAGGACTGATGGTAGCGCTCACCTTGTCTTCTCCGGACAAGGTGTTTTCCGGATGCCCCAAACAATCGGAAAGGGGATTCATCAGAGAAAATGACTTTACCCCAGTCCTCAGCAGTCCAATCCCTGTACCTTTTGCAGAATATCAGTCTGTCCCTGATATTTTTCCTGGAGAGAAGTGTCTTCTTTGCTGCCCTTCTTGACACCAGGCCATCCTCCAAAAGTCTTCGCCGCACTGTGCGTGCAGATGCACTCACACCTGCCTGCTGCCATTCCTGAGCAAGCTCTGCACTAGTGGTGCCCCGATCCCACAGCTGAATAAACTTTAGGAGGGTCCTGGCGCTTGCTGGACTTTCTTGGGCGCCCTGACTCCTCCTTCACAACATTTGAACCTCTCTCTTTGAAGTTCTTGATGATCCGATAAATGGTTGATTTAGGTCGAATCTTACTAGCAGCAATATCCTTGCCTGTGAAGCCCTTTTTGTGCAAAGCAATGATGACAGCACGTGTTTCCTTGCAGGTAACCATGGTTAACAGAGGAAGAACAATGATTTCAAGCACCACCCTCCTTTTAAAGCTTCCAGTCTGTTATTCTAACTCAATCAGCATGACAGAGTGATCTCCAGCCTTGTCCTCGTCAACACTCTCACCTGTGTTAACGAGAGAATCACTGACATGATGGCAGCTGGTCCTTTTGTGGCAGGGCTGAAATGCAGTGGAAATGTTTTTTGGGGATTAAGTTCATTTTCATGGCAAATCACTCTTCATAACATTCTGGAGTATATGCAAATTGCCATCATCAAAACTGAGGCAACAGACTTTGTGAAAATTAGTATGTGTGTCATTCTCAAAACTTTTGACCACGACTGTATGTATATGTGTGTAATGTGTTTCTCTCTGTGTATCCAGGTGGTTCCACAGGGATATCTCTGGCGTGGAGGCTGAGTCTGTTTTGAAGACCCGAGGCGTCCATGGCAGCTTCCTGGCCCGACCCAGCAGGAAGAACCAGGGAGACTTCTCTCTCTCTGTCAGGTAGGAATACACTCCATATCTTTCTTTGTCCTTATCTCTCTCTCTCTCTGTCTGTCAGCTAGGATATCCTCTCTCTCTCTTTCTCCTTCTCTCTCCGTCAGGTAGGATAGGAACACTTTCTATCTCTCTCTTTCTTCTTCTCTCTCTCTCTCCGTTAGCTAGGACATCCTCCATCTCTCTCTTTCTCCTCCTTTCTCTCTGTCAGGTAGAGGTACACTCCATCTCTTTTTCTCCTTCTTTGTCTCTCCTTCTCTCAACCTACAGTGTCTTCGGAAAGTATTCAAACCCCTTGAACTTTTCCACATAGACTTTTTCCACATTTTGTTGTGTTACAAAGAGGGATTCAAATAGATTTAATTGTTATTTTATGTAATCATTGCTAGACAACCATTTTCAGGTCTTGCCATAGATTATCAAGCAGATTTAAGTCAAAACTGTAACTAGGCCACTCAGGAACATTCACTGTCCTTTTGGTAAGCAACTCCAGTGAAGATTTGGTCTTGTATTTTAGGTTATTGTACTTCTGAAAGCTAAATTCCTCTCTCAGTGTCTGGTAGAAAGCAGACTGAACCAGGCATTCCTCTAGGAATTTGCTTGTGCTTAGCTCCATTCCTTTTCTTTTTTATCCTGAAAAACTCCCCAGTCTTTAACGATTACAAGCATACATATAACATGATGCAGCCACCACTATGCTTGAAAATGTGGAGAGTGGTACTCAGTAATGTGTTGTATTGGATTTGCCCCAAACATAACATTACCTTGTTGCAAACAAGATGCATGTTTTGGAATACTTTTTTTCCTTTACAGGCTTCCTTCTTTTCACTCTGTCAATTAGTTTAGTATTGTGGAGTAACTGCAATGTTGTTGATCCATCCTCCGTTTTCTCATTCAGTGGGGAAAAAAAGTATTTAGTCAGCCACCAATTGTGCAAGTTCTCCCACTTAAAAAGATGAGAGAGGCCTGTAATTTTCATCATAGGTACACGTCAACTATGACAGACAAATTGAGAAAAAAATATCCAGAAAATCACATTGTAGGATTTTTTATGAATTTATTTGCAAATTATGGTGGAAAATAAGTATTTGGTCACCTACAAACAAGCAAGATTTCTGGCTCTCACAGACCTGTAACTTCTTCTTTAAGGGGCTCCTCTGTCCTCCACTCGTTACCTGTATTAATGGCACCTGTTTGAACTTGTTATCAGTATAAAAGACACCTGTCCACAACCTCAAACAGTCACACTCCAAACTCCACTATGGCCAAGACCAAAGAGCTGTCAAAGGACACCAGAAACAAAATTGTAGACCTGCACCAGGCTGGGAAGACTGAATCTGCAATAGGTAAGCAGCTTGGTTTGAAGAAATCAACTGTGGGAGCAATTATTAGGAAATGGAAGACATACAAGACCACTGATAATCTCCCTCGATCTGGGGCTCCACGCAAGATCTCACCCCGTGGGGTCAAAATGATCACAAGAACGGTGAGCAAAAATCCCAGAACCACACGGGGGGACATAGTGAATGACCTGCAGAGAGCTGGGACCAAAGTAACAAAGCCTACCATCAGTAACATACTACGCCGCCAGGGACTCAAATCCTGCAGTGCCAGACGTGTCCCCCTGCTTAAGCCAGTACATGTCCAGGCCTGTCTGAAGATTGCTAGAGTGCATTTGGATGATCCAGAAGAGGATTGGGAGAATGTCATATGGTCAGATGAAACCAAAATATAACTTTTTGGTAAAAACTCAACTCGTCGTGTTTGGAGGACAAAGAATGCTGAGTTGCATCCAAAGAACACCATACCTACTGTGAAGCATGGGGGTGGAAACATCATGCTTTGGGGCTGTTTTTCTGCAAAGGGACCAGGACGACTGATCCGTATAAAGGAAAGAATGAATGGGGCCATGTATCGTGAGATTTTGAGTGAAAACCTCCTTCCATCAGCAAGGGCATTGAAGATGAAACGTGGCTGGGTCTTTCAGCATGACAATGATCCCAAACACACCGCCCGGGCAACGAAGGAGTGGCTTTGTAAGAAGCATTTCAAGGTCCTGGAGTGGCCTAGCCAGTCTCCAGATCTCAACCCCATAGAAAATCTTTGGAGGGAGTTGAAAGTCTGTGTTGCCCAGCGACAGCCCCAAAACATCACTGCTCTAGAGGAGATCTGCATGGAGGAATGGGCCAAAATAGTGTGTGAAAACCGTGTGAAGACTTACAGAAAACGTTTGAACTGTGTCATTGCCAACAAAGGGTATATAACAAAGTATTGAGAAACTTTTGTTATTGACCAAATACTTATTTTCCACCATAATTTGCAAATAAATAAATTAAAAATCCTACAATGTGATTTTCTGGATTTTTTTTCCTCATTTTGTCTGTCATAGTTGACGTGTACATATGATGAAAATTACAGGCCTCTCATCTTTTTAAGTGGGAGAACTTGCACAATTGGTGGCTGACTAAATACTTTTTTTCCCCACTGTATCACAGCCATTAAACTCTGTAACTGTTTTAAAGTCACCATTGGCCTCATGGTGAAATCCCTGAGCGGTTTCCTTCCTCTCCAGCAACTGAGTTAGGAAGTACGCTTGTATCTTTGTAGCTACTGGGTGTATTGATACACCATCCAAAGTGTCATTAATAACTTCACCATGCTCAAAGGAATATTAAACGTCTGCTTTTTTCATTTTTACCCATCTACCAATAGGTGCCCTTCTTTGTGAGGCATTGGAAAACCTCCCTGGTCTTTGTGGTTGAATCTGTGTTTGAAATTCACTGCTCGACTGAGGGACCATACAGATAATTGTATGTGTGGGGTACAGAAATGAGGTAGTCATTCAAAAATCATGTTAAACACTATTATTGCACACAGAGTAAGTCCATGCAACTTATGTGACTTGGTAAGCACATTTTTACTCCTGAACTTATTAAGGCTTGCCATAACAAAGGGGTTGAATTCTTATTGACTCAAGACATTTCAGCTTTTTATTTGTAAATAATTTGTCAAACATTTGAAAAACATAATTCCACTTTGATATTATGGGGTATTGTGTGTATTCCAGTGACCAAAAAAAAATCGACATTTAATAAAATGTAATACATTTGAATTTCAGGATCTAACAACTAAATGTGGAAAAAGTCAAGGGGTGTGAATACTTTCTGAAGGCACTGTATGTTAACCCAAAGCGTTTCGCTACACCCGCAATAACATCTGCTAAATATGTGACCAATAAAAATTGATTTGATCAAATTTGATTTACAGTATATCATCTCTACTCACTCGTCCTTTCCTCTCTCCTTATCTTGCCCTCCGTCAGGTACAGATACACTGCATCTCTCGTTCTCTCCTTTTTTTTTTAAATAATTTTTTTACTTAAAACTAGCTTAGGAAGAATTGTCTACTGTCACTGACTGGCCCATGAATGTCCTCTGATCTTTGACCCCAGGGTGGGTGAGCTGGTGACCCACATCCGTATCCAAAACACAGGGGACTTCTACGACCTGTATGGAGGGGAGAAGTTTGCCACGTTGTCCGAGCTGGTGGAGTACTACACTGCAGAGAACGGGATCCTGCAGGACAAAGATGGCACCATCATCGAGCTCAAATACCCCCTCAACTGCTCCGACCCCACCACTGAGAGGTCAGTGCACTCTCATCTCTAACCTTTACCCTTTACCCTTTACCCCTAATACCACCAGAGTCAGTCAGTCAAGTCCGTGTACTCTTGCCTCAAACCGCTAACCCATAACTTTACCATTCAGAGGCCTGTGCTCTTCTTTCAAACTGCATGTCTATCAAACTGAAGCAGATCATATCAAATGCTCCTGAGACATTTAACATCCAGGCATTTTGCAATTAATAATTTGCTAAATGTTTATGTTGAGGATCATAAGGCTTTCAGAAGGAAAGGTAATTCTTTGGCCTTTACTTTGAGGCGTATGCGTGCGTGCGTGCGTGCGTGTGTAAATCCCTCATGTTCTGCCCTCACTGCCCCTCCTTTCGCCGCTCTCTTTTCTCTCTCTCCCTCTGTCAGTTTGACTTCCCTTTCTTGCTGCGGTTGGAAACTTTAGGTTTTGACACATTTGAAAACAGTGACCAGAACCACCTTACCTTCCTCTCCTAACCTCCATCTCAGTCTTGCTCTGTTTTAGTCTTTCTGATCTCTTTCTCGATACCCATATCACAGGTTCTGCTGTGATGGTATGCTTTATAGTTCAATGTTAATGCAGATGTGTCAGGCTATGATAATTATGCCTCTAACTTTCTCACTCATCATTATTCACAATTCATTCATGATTATCCGTAATCATGGTAGCATCCACATTAATGTAGAAGTGTTTAGAAACATATTATATTCTTATTTACAATAAAAGTGACTCCAAAAAGACAAAATACATGATTTACCATTAATTTCTATTGTTCACAAAATAATCTGAAACACAACCAAAACAAACTGCAAATGCATCCAACAAATAAGTAGTCACAAGCTTGATGTAGTCATTGCATGCTAGGAATATGGGGCCTAAACTTAACTACTTTAATACACATAAGTGAATTAGGGGGGACTATGTAAAAAAAGTGCTGCAATTTCTAAACGGTTCACCCGATATGGATGAAAATACCTTCAAATTCTGCACTTTAACCTCATAGTCATTGTATCACTTCAAATCCAAAGTGCTGGAGTACAGAGCAAATCAATAAATATAGTGTCGCTGTCCAAATACTTTGACCTCACTGTATATCGAATTTGGCAGATGCATCCACGCTACTGTGTCTATCTCTATTCCTAGAAAGGAGGATAACTGAAGTAGTATTTCATGCAAGTGGAGGACACCCCCAACATAGCAGTATTCTTATCTGGGTTAGAGTTTTAGTACATTCTACAGAGATAGATAACTTTGTGAATGTACAGTTATTCATACTGTGATAAATTGTCTGGTAAACAGATTCATCCAGGGCCAAGAACATGACAGAACATAGTGTTATAAAGAGGAGGGAGGGGGGGGGGGGGGTGGGGGGGGGGTTGTGTGAGGCTCAGGCTATAAATATCCTGTTGTCTTGAGCAACGAAATCTTGTCATCAGAATTTTCCGACTGCAAAGCAGGAAGTTCAGATGAAGAAATCGAGAACTGTGCCTAAATTTAAACAGCAGGCAGCACTCAGAGACGATCTCCATACTAACAGTGTAAACTCTCCCAGAGACAGTTACATGCATGCAAACACACATTCACACACACTATACTCACAGGACAGAAATACTTGCATAAACCCACATACAGTGCATCTGTACAGGCCGTAAATACACATTAGTAACCAAAATGTCCACAACCATTTATTAAAGTCCTCTACCACTTTGCAACACAGTTACAGTACATTAACGCTCGCTTTCACCGTCTGTCCGGTAGCACTGAACAGGCTGCACACCGTACTTTTACAGTATAGTACTATACAGACCTGTTCTAACACACCGGCTTCTGCTTTATGTGCTGCTTATCATAACTATGATTAGCTGAATCATGTGTTAGAGCAGGGCTGGAGCAAAAGCCTGTACACACAGCAGTTCTCCAGGAGGAGGGTTGTCCAACCCTGGTGTAGGGCATAGTGATGTCTCCATTAGAGCTTCATTGACCCCTTCTCTATCATACACCATACAGGTGGTATCACGGACACATGTCAGGCCCCAACGCAGAGAAGTTGCTATGGGAACGGGATGAGCCGGGCACCTTCCTGATGCGTGAGTCTCTGTCCAAACCTGGAGACTTTGTTCTGTCTGTTCTGACTGAGGAGAAGAGCAAGGCATCCAACAGAGGGAGGAGGGTCTCACACATCAAGATCATGTGTCAGGTGTGTGTGTATGTGTGTTTGTATGTGTGTGTGTGCGTGCGTGCATGAGTGTGTGCGAGCGTGTGAGAATGTTTGTGTGGTTTTCTCTCTCTAACTCACATTCACTATTATAATTCACATTGCAATCTTTGCTATAGTTTTTCCCATATCTGAGTACATCTTATGAAACCAGACCAATTTTCAGTTTCTCCAAAATGTTCATTCTTATGCAATGAGTGACCTTCCTGCTTCCAACATCTATGAGAAAACCTGACAAACATCAAACACACCACCACTACTGTCTCAGCACAGAAACAGTTATGCAAAGTCAAGTCAACATGAACATGGAGGTTTGAGGTTGATAGATGTCACTGACGACATCCTGGTTACAAAACGTTTACTTTTGCCAAGCGGTTATGTTTTAATTAGTTAGTTACATATTTCATTTGGACCCTTAGGTGATGTGTGAAAATTCATATACGATTCCAATAAAACACATGAGAATTGGTATTCACATATATTAATGTGTGTACAGTAACTACCACTAGAAATAAAAATAGCATAGTAATTTCAGAGTTCAGAGCTAGACTAACTTACTGCATTCATCCCCAAACCTCATTTTCATAGATGAAACGTTGTCAGCAGCACCATCAGGGTTAGTTTTTTTTTAGCTGTGGTTCATCTCATTGCAGACATGAGGCAGATTTGAATGAGAGGCATTGTAGGGCTGGAGTCTGGAGAATTCAGAGTCAGAAGATTATCACGGAGGTCATTGAGTCCTGGCACAGGCCCTACCAGGAGCAAGCATCAGGTGCATTTCCTAATAGGAAGTACATTAAAGATATTTTATGGTACTTTTGTATACTTTTTAGCCAAAAGTTGTCCCCGAAAATTGCGTACTATGTCACAAATGGGCAGATATGTGCACCATGTCATTGCTCTCTCTCTCTCTCTCTACTGTGTGTGCGTCTTGCTAGCTGTCACTCAAATGGCGAGGGGCTGAAGCTCATGGACTGAAACTCGAATTGCTAGGGGGCTTGCCTACGTGGGTGTAAATGTAGGGAAAATGGCACAGCACAGCTGAGGTAAAACTGCAATTTTGCTCATAGATTATGCATGTATGAACTACAGATTGACACATTCAGCCCAAAGCGGGAGGTTTAAAAAATACTTACTAGTGGCCAAAGTACCGACGCATGCCTTCAAGTACATGAAGTAAACTGGCTGTCATTTCTAAATGAAGTCTGGTGAGTCGGCCATCCAGCTGCATGATTAGATCAGATTAGATAACATTTATTTCCCTCATGTGGAAATTTGTTTTCACAGCTTCATCAGCATACAGCTTACTGAAAAGGGGCCAAATGTGCTACACATAACGAAAGACCCAAAACCACAGTTTCCAAAATAACATTATTAATGTGTATTATTGACCGTTTCTATATTCTATATCGTTCCGTGTGTGTGTGTATATTTACACAGTACCAGTCAAAAGTTTGGACACACCTACTCATTCAAGGGTTTTTCTTTATTTTTACTATTTTCTACATTGTAGAATAATAGTGAAGACATCAAAACTATGAAATAACACATATGGAATCATGTAGTAACAAAAAAGGTGTTAAACAAATCAAAATATATTTTATATTTGAAATTCTTCAAATAGCCACCCTTTGCCTTGATGACAGGTTTGCACACTCTTGGCATTCTCTCAAACAGCTTCATGAGACAGTCACCTGGAATGCATTTCAATTAACAGGTGTGCCTTCTTAAAAGTTCATTTGTGGAATTTCTTTCCTTCTTAATGCGTTTGAGCCAATCAGTTGTGTTGTTACAAGGTAGGGGTGGTATACAGAAGATAGCCTTATTTGGTAAAAGACCAAGTCCATATTATGGGAAGATCAGATCAAATAAGCAAAGATAAATGACAGTCCATCATTACCTTAAGATATGAAGGTCAGTCAATACGGAACATTTCAAGAACTTTGAACGTTTCTTCAAGTGCAGTCGCAAAAACCATCAAGCGACCTGATGAAACTGGCTCTCAGGAATGGAAGACCCAGAGTTACCTCTGCTGCAGAGGATAAGTTCATTAGAGTTACCAGCCTCAGAAATTGCAGCCCATATAAATGCTTCACAGAGTTCAAGTAACAGACACATCTCAACATCAACTGTTCTGAGGGGACTGTGTGAATCAGGCCTTCGTGGTCGAATTGCTGCAAAGAAACCACTACTAAAGGACACCAATAAGAAGAAGAGACTTGCTTGGGCCAAGAAACACGAGCAACGGACATTAGATCAGTAGAAATGTGTCCTTTGGTCTGGAGTCCAAATTTGAGATTTTTGGTTCCAACCGCTGTGTCTTTGTGAGACGCGGTGTAGGTGAACGGATAATCTCCATCTGTGTATTTCCCACCATAAAGCATGGAGGAGGAGGTGTTATGTTGTGGGGGTGCTTTGCTGTAGACACTGTCTGTGATTTATTTAGAATTCAAGGCACACTTAACCAGCATGGTGTCACGATCGTCTGAAGGATGAGACCAACGCGCAGCGCGTGTACCGATAAACATGCTTACTTTATTAAATGAAAGCAACCACAGAAAACAACAAAATACGATACGTGAAGTTCCACTACTGATACAGACAGCAACACGGAAACAAAAACCCACAAACAAAGGTGAAACCACACAGATTAAATATGGCTCCCAATCAGAGATAACGAGCCGAACAGCTGACACTCGTTACCTCCGATTGGGAGTCATATGCCCAATTAACAACAAAACCCAAACATAGAAAATGAACAACCAGATCCCACATAGAAATACACCCAAAAGAAAATGACAACCCTGGCTCACAACAAAGAGTCCCGGAGCCAGAACGTCACAGTACCCCCCCCTAAAGGCGCGGACTGCGACCGCGCCTCACCACCCCACCATAGGGGAGGGCTGGGTGGGTGTTGCTCCCCGGAGGCGGTTCCGGCTCCGGGCTTGACCACCACCCCACTATAGTTCCTACCCGCTTTCTTAACCTCCTCCCAATGACCACCCTCCACTTAACCCACCTGGATAAATGGGGCAGCACCGGACTAAGAGGCAGCATAAGGCTAAGGGACAGCACCGGACTAAGGGGCAGCACAGGACTACGTGGCGGATCCTGGCTGGCTGGCTCTGACGGATCTGGCTGCTCATGGCTGGCTGACGGATCTGGCGGCTCATGGCTGGCTGACGGATCTGGCGGCTCATGGCTGGCTGACGGATCTGGCCACTCATGGCTGGCGGAAGGCTCTGGCTGATCCCGTCTGGCGGAAGGCTCTGGCTGCTCCTGTCTGGCGGAAGGCTCTGGCTGATCCTGTCTGGCGAAAGGCTCTGGCTGATCCTGTCTGGCGGAAGGCTCTGGCTGATCCTGTCTGGCGGAAGGCTCTGGCTGATCCTGTCTGGCGAAGAGCTCTAGCGGCTCCGGTCTGGCGGACGGCTCTGAAGGCTCATGGCAGACGGGCGGCTTTGCAGGCTCAGTACAGACGGGGCAGTTCAGACGGCGTTGGACAGACGGACAGTTCAGACGGCGTTGGCAGACGGGCAGTTCAGACGGCGTTGGGCAGACGGGCAGTTCAGACGGCGTTGGGCAGACGGGCAGTTCAGGCGCCGTTGTGCAGACGGGCAGTTCAAGCGCCGTTGGGCAGACGGGCAGTTCAGGCGCCGTTGGGCAGACGGGCAGTTCAGGCGCCGTTGGGCAGACGGCAGACTCTGGCCGTCTGAGGCGCATCGTAGACCTGATGCGTGGTGCCGGAACTGGAGGTACCGGGCTGAGGACACGCATCTCAGGGCTAGTGCGGGGAGAAGCAACAGGGCATGCAGGACCCCTGGGGACGCACATAAGTCCTAGTGCGTGGTGCCGGAACTGGTGGTCCGGGCTGAGGACACGCATCTCAGGGCTAGTGCGGGGGAGCAGCAACAGGGCATGCAGGACCCTGGGGACGCACATAAGTCCTAGTGCGTGGTGCCGGAACTGGTGGTCCCGGGCTGAGGACACGCCTCTCAGGGCTAGTGCGGGGGAGCCGGAACAGGGCATGCTGGACCCTGGGGACTCCCATAACGCTTAGTGCGGGGAGCCGGGAACAGGGCATGTGGACCCTGGGGACTCACCTCACGCCTAGTGCGGAGAGCAGGAACAGGCCGGGCGGGGCTGGCGACGCGCACCGTATCCACTGGTGCGAGTGGCCGGAACAGGCCGGGCCGGGCTGGTGAAGCGCACCGTATCCCTGGTGCGTGGAGTAGGAACAGGCCGGGAGGGCTGGCGAAGCGCACCGTATCCCTGGTGCGTGGTGAGTAGGAACAGGCCGGGCTGGGCTGGCGAAGCGCACAGTATCCCTGGTGCGTGGAGTAGGAAAAGGCAGGGCTGAGCTGGCGACGCACACGTATCCCTGGTGCGATGTGGCCGGAACAGGCCGGGCCGGGCTGGCGAAGCGCACCGATCCCTGGTGCGTGGAGTAGGAACAGGCGGTCCCATACCGGGAACACACACCACGGCCTCAACCGAGGATCAC